AATGAATTGTAGTGGTAGAAACTTTAATCGAAGTATTAGCAACAGGGTATTAAAAAAAGGTGCACCCCATTACAGGGGTTCAAAATGGGGGGAAACGGTTATTGTTTAAGTAATAGAAGAAGTTGCATTAAGTTGTAAAAACAAGAAAAGTGACCGGAACAAATGGGAAGAAAAGAAGAGGTAAGTATAAATCTTCATGTAAAAGGTATGAATTTCATGTTCTCAGATTTAATCAATCAGTAATGGATTATACCTCTATATTATACCAGACATGTAAAGTTTTTGCCTACAACCCTCTCTGTCTTCTATTTGTCTTTTAAAGGAGAGGAAAGGAGAATAGAGAGAAGAGGAGGTGGGAGGAGAGAGGAGAGGAGGTGGCAGGGCAGTGTGAGCCCACTCATGTAAAAGGTAAATATCAGTTCATCTAATGTTATTATCACACTTTGTATTGTATGATGGATAAAATAATCTGTTCACCTGGTTTCTGATGTTTGTAACCATAACTCCCCTTGTCTTCCATTGATGTTTTAGAGGAGAGGAGAGGAGAGGAGAAAGGAGAGAAGAGAGGAGAGGGGAGAGGAGAGAGGAGGAGGGAGGGGGGTAATGTGAGCCCTCTCATGAAAAAAAGTAAATATCAATTAATTCAATGTTGTATTCACACTCCGTATTGTGATAGATAAATTATCTGTTCACATTGTCCCTGACGTTTTTAGCTATAACTCCTTCTGTCTTCCATTTGTGTTTTAGAAAGGGGGGGAGGTGGGAGGAATGAGGGGAGGAGGTGGGAGGGTAATGTGTGCCCTCTCTTGTAAAAGGTAAATATTTATTGTTATTATCACAATTCGTGTAATGCTGGATAAATAATCTGTTCACCTCATTTCTGACTTTTTTGGCTCAAAGTCCCCATGTCTTCCATTTCTGTTTTAGAGGAGAGGAGGTGGGAGGAGAGAGGAGGAGGGTCCTTGCTGCAGCAGCTGTGGGTTCGACTCCAACCTGTGGGGTTTTATTTTGAAAGGTACAACCGGATGCGTTACGGGTTATCACGAAGCGTTGACATCCGTGTCTGAGGCAACATGGCGAACGCCGGGCGAGTGACCGCGGACGGAGGAGACATGATGCGATATACTGAATACAGTCCTAAAACCAGCGCTAGGAGTGATGCGGAGATAGACAGAAGACTGGTGAGTATCTGCGGCCACACTGAACACATCTGTGGAGTCAAACTGCTAACGCCTGTGTTAGGTAACCTCAATGACCGCTAACGGCACGGCACGGCACGGCACTGCTCTTGCGTCAGGTACAGTGGGTTTAACTCGGTTTAACTCGGTGTAACCATATGTGAGCTTCCAGGACCACTTTTTATTGACTGGGGACCGTTTAAACCGCACGGGCCAGGCACAGTAAACAGTAAATAACTATCTGTTTGTCACGAGACTGATGTTGTCCAGAGGTTTAACTTACATAAAGACATAAAGGCTAACGCCACACAGTGGAGAACTGAATCCACATGGTATTATTACTTCTGGGTGTCATTTAAGATTCTGTTATGTTTATTATGTCCTGACCTGTTAACGCATCATACATGGAAATGTTCTGACAATCAGTATGTCACTTTATATATATATAATATAATTATAATTATATAATATATATATATATATATATATATATATATGGCACTTTATATATTGTAGTGCCCAAATCAGAAGATGCTGCACACAAGATGCTCCTTCTGCAGTCTACCTTTGTGGACAGATCTAGTTTTATTACCAATGATGTAGAAGTCATTTCATATGAAGATGAGCTAACTTGGATAAAAACACCTTGTTTTGTTAGACTGTAGCCTACACAATCGTATGTACGACATATTTTAAAATGACACAATCAGGAGTTAAACTAACACTAAACACATATAATCAGTATGGCACATTATTAGGTAACTGTTGGCAGTCTGTATACAATCAGTGGTAATGCTCTATCACTTTCCTCTTTAAAATGCATTCAGTTCAAGTCTTCACAATTACATTTAAAAGTGACTAATGTATGGCTGCAATGGAAATCCTTTGACTTACTTACTGACTTATGGATATGTTGTTGAAACTGACTACATTTTACTGGAGTCATTATTCTCTTCTCCACAGAGTATCAGTATTGAACAACATGAAACAAATCCATGGCACGCGGATATCAAACAGCCATTTCTTTAGTGGAGACTGGCTCACTGCTCTCCCCACAGAGGATCACATAGGGCACAATGAAGCTGTAGGTAGCTGTGTTACATGAGTTGTCTAACCCAGTGTGGTAACGGCTGGATGTGTTGTTTTGGTGACAGGGAGGCACTCTGATTGCGGTTGGTCTTGGTGTGGCTGCTGCAGGTTTTGCTGGTAAGTTTGATGCATCCTTAATTTGCTAAGATACTATTACCTGGATGTGTCCTTTTCTGTTTTTTGTTGACTTTTACTCACTAAAATGTTTGCTCTGTCTGCTGTCTTTGGTTCTGTGTTGCTCCCTTTTCATTTAGAAATGTGTTTGGTTTGGGACGGTTACATGTATGTGTTTAATCCACAGGCCGCTATGCATTCCAGCTGTGGAAGCCTCTTGGACAAGTCTTCTCTGAAACTGTCAAGAAGATGCCCTCATCAGTGAGTTATTAAATAACCTCCTATACATTGTTCATATCCAGTCCTGTTCTGCTATATGTAACATGTCTGGTTTCAGTTGTTTGGTGGATGTATCATTTGCATATTGGCCTGGCCTTGATGTGTCACATATGTGTCAGCCTTTGAAAACAAGTGTTCAAAACCATGAACCACTGTGATGTTTAAATGTCTAGTTTCCATGCACAGGAAGATAATCTGAGAACGCCCTGGCATTGTTTCATATTCTCTGATTTTGAGAGAGAAAAATATGGAATAAATTAAATTAAGGTTTTGGTTGAGACTGAGAATCAAAGCTCTAATCCTTTTCTGTCACCACAGGCTTTCTCATCATATTACAAAGGAGGTTTTGATCAGAAGATGTGTAAACGAGAGGCCAGCCTCATTCTTGGCATCAGGTAATAATATGTGTTGTAGTTAATATATATAATAATATATATAATAAACTTATAAGTACAGTCCTTCAGTGTGTGTGTGTGTGTGTGTGTGTGTGTGTGTGTGTGTGTGTGTGTGTGTGTGTGTGTGTGTGTGTGTCTCTCTCTCTCTCTCAGTAATTATTGCTCACGTGGATGTTTTACTTATTTTATTATCCAGCCCAACCAGCACTAAGGCCAAGGTACGTGAGGCCCATCGGAGGATCATGGTCCTGAACCATCCAGATAAAGGTAAGCTTAAACTACGACCATCAAAGTGATGAAGACAAAAGTCAGACGTCTATGAGACTGCAGTTGGGTTTTGTATGATGTGTGAAATGTCAAAAGCACAGAAAATGATTACAACAGACAAAGACTGGCTCAAATCTAGGGCTGGGCATTGATAAGATTTTACTGATACTGATGCCATTATCAGTTCTGCTTACTGGTCCGATTCTTCATCAGTTCCATTATCAGTTTATTTTCTATGTGGAAAAATAGTAGGCCTGCGCAAGTTTTCAGTGTCAAGGTAACTGTATCTCCGAGTCTGAACAGTGTAGAAACAGTAGTAAAAAGACATGCATGTGACACTGTATAACCGCCGTTTACTTTGGAACCGGTTCGTGATTCCCATCCTTAGAAGAGAGAATATTTGTACGGCGTTTGTTTTCAGTCAGGCTTTCTTATTTAAAGAAGTCTGCCTGCGTGGTGCTAATGTTATTATAACATAGGACATTTTGACATTTTCAAAGGACTGTAGCCCATAAAGGACGTATATGATACACAATTTTTCAAATGAAAAAATGCACACAATGAAGAAAGAGATCAGTAAGTAGACATCCAGCCCTAACTTTAGTCACTAACAAGCTTGTGGATGGTTGAGTGTTGTTATTAACACACAAATGTGGAATATGCCAGAAGTTGTTGAGCATTGTATGAAACCCAGTGTTGATTTTAAATGATGTTTGAGTTAATGCTCGAGGATGGTTGGGTATGAAAGGAGTGATCACGGAATCAGACTAAAACTTGTGTTTGTGTGTATGTGCAGGTGGATCACCGTTTCTCGCTGCTAAGATCAACGAGGCCAAAGACCTTCTGGACAAGGAGAGCCGGAGATGACCTTCACCATGAACCAGCACTTTAAAGACTTCCACCACCATGTGCATGATCTCAGCTCTGTAGTACTGCTCCATCAACATCAACACCACCCTGAGGCAACCACTCAGGCTCCTGGAACGTGGGAAAACTTATACTTTCATGACAGTTTACTTCTTAACAAGGCTACTTAACTTATAGTTATAATAGATTGCAGCTTCTCTACATCAATGAGAAATAGCTTAAAAAAGGAACAATACTGCTACAGATTTACTGTGTATAAAATGTTATGTGTACAAATGTCAGCATATAAGGTATTATGTAATAATGTCTATTTAAGAAAAGATAGAAGAATAAAATTCAAATATTTCCATGTTTAAACAGTTAGTGTGGAAGTAGTTTTAAAACATTTTTTAAATAAACTTCATTTGGAAACATATACAATAGTTGTGTGTTGGTATTTGTGTGGGCAGGTTTACTGAATAAAGTATTTTTATTACTGAAAAATACTCAGTGTGTACTGAAGAGTTTCCCAGGAGTCCTCCATCACCTGCTGTAGCTGACAGACAGTGAGCAGGTCTTAGCCATTCAGGAGTCTTCTGGACTGCATCTAATGTCTCTAAATTTACTTTTAGCATTAAAGCCATCGAGTCTTAAAGTTTAAACCAGGTATCTCATACATTTGAAAGCTCAGATTACAGCAGAAAGCAGACTAAAATACTTATTTGATGTTAATCCACTGAGTAAACTGTATGTTATTCTGTTCTCAGTTTTTTAATGTAAGAATTTTCAGCAATTATTTGAAAAATGTAAAATTAGAAAAAAAAACGACCCATCAACTTCAAAATGCTTCTTTATTTAGAGAATCATGTCCTACTGTATGTCATTGTACGGAGAGGACAAAGCAAGACGCAGTATTTAGCGGTTACACTTACAGCAGCAGTTATTGGTCAAAAACACCAACCAGTTACATCAAGGTTTGCTTGGAAAACGTCAAATAAATAGAAAAGGAATCTGTTCTGACGTCACTATATCAGCAAATGACCACCAGTCTGAGTGCTCCCAGTCTGCACACTGGACCGCCATCAGAGGTCACCTCGGTCCCTGTGTCAGTGTGGACCAGAGCAAGCAGCTCAGGTTTGATTTCCATCATGAAGGCAGAGGGTTTGTTTAGAGCAGCAAAGATGTCGGAGCCTCTGGGTGCTTGGAAGATGGATGCATTAATGTCAGACTTTCAAATCAACCAAATCAATATATCTCCTTGGTGTGTGTTTCCACTGGTGTATTTATTCAGTGAAATCTGCAATTGTCAAAATATGGAGGCTGGGAAGTGTCAGAAAAGTAATTACACAAAATGTAATAATTCATGCTCTCGCGTTATTTAAGCTGTGCTCTAAATTTAGTATTACATATCTTTCTACCTCCCATCCTGTAGAGAGCAGCAGAAGGCAACGCCTTTGGTGCGGTGCATTTAGTTAGCCAGAAGTTTGAAAAAGGGGAAAAAGACATTTATGAAGCACTGCAGTAACACCTGAAGCCAGGTTTTCATGGAACTGGATGACATCTGCAGTATTAAAGTTTCTACAGTGAAACAATCCTATAAAATACATTTAAGCTAAATCATGAGCCCAGATATTTGAGTGCATGAATTATTAAAACGTATGCAAAACTTCATGACACCTCCTGAGCAATGTACCAAAAAGAAGAAATTTAACTTTGATTAACTTTTAAGTTAGTGCCCCTTATCTTTGATGTTCCAGTGGGCGTGAAGTTTTGCTACCATCTGATGGTCCTGTAGTTTGATTGGTGCAATATCTGCGTGGACAGGCACTGAAATAGTATAATATATCTATCTGGTCATTTTCCATTAGCACATTTGGACCCATTAAAAACATATTAAACTCCACCCTTTGTGTACAGCAGGACAAACACAGCTGAGTGTGTGAGAGCTCCCAGGGACTTAACAGGTACTGAAATGACATGAAGGAAAAGCAACTGTAACTCATCTAGTGGGAAGTTGGAAGAGGCACAGACAGAAACCTTGGTAACCATGTTAGCACCATGGAAGCTCCACCCACATAGGTGAACTAGTGGCATGCTGGGAAGAAGGAGGTGGTGTTAGACGTACATTAGGAGTATTCTTATCCAAACTGGTTATTTTACAGTTGATCGGAATCGCGAGACATGAGTATTAATAATTCCAGTAAATATTTCCAGTATTTTACATTTGTGATCCATTGGGTCACATTTAGAAGGAAATCTGTTAGAGGGCGCTGTTCTTGCAGGGCAAACAGTGGTAAAGTTGTCACAGTTTCCGCTGAAGGGAGTGAAAGAACAACAGAGAAACCACATCCAACATGTTTATCCTCTTTCATAAAGGGTAAGCAGCGAGGCTGATGGGAAATGTAGTGTAAATCTACTGCTGCAGGGAGACAGAAGCAGTCAATCGATGGCTTTTCTGGCTCGGAGAGACCAAATCAGCGGTTTCGGTGGAAATTAATAAGCAGCCCTTCATTAACGAGCTTCATTAAGGCTGCTCGGTTTAACGTCATCAGCGATCCATTAGCAGTCCTGCGTAGCCCTCTCTAAATCTTCATCCTGTTGCCCCGCTTCTTCCTCGTCCTCCTCATCTTGCTCCTCTTTCTCGCTCAGTTCCTCTCCAATCACATCTAGCCGTGCCTCCTGCCCGTTAAGCACCTCCTCCTCCTCCTCCTCCTCCTCGTCATTATGAAGCCTCGCCTCCTGCAGCTGCAGCCGTCGCTCCTCCACCTGCAGGAGGCGCTCTCTGACACCCTCTGCTGCCGCTGCTGTTTCGCTGGGACTCCCAAAGTACTGCTCGCTCCTGAAACACCAATGTGAGTGAGGAGTTTGTATTATATGAAATGTGTGTGGGTTGTGTTATTTATCACAAAAACCTGTCAACACACTCACATTATGGGGACTAACCTCCCATGTGGGGACAAAAAGCTGGAAGATCATTGAACTTTAGTGTTAATATAATTTATATTTTCATATTAACAATGCATGACTACTTGTGTGTGGAAGGAGACAGCTTTAAATCATTGTTTTCGTTTTCTGGCTCACAATTTTACTGTTTTGGTTCACTTTCACCACTCTCATAGTGTCGCTTTTGGACGCAGCAAGCGGCTGTTTTTAGTTATTAAGTTCTAAAACCCACTTTATACTACGTGCTCAGAACAGCATGCAGACACAGTTAGCGACTAGCTGGTGAACGTTGTAGAGCATTTAGCAGTTAAAGAGCCAAGAGTGGTTGTACACAGGCTTTACATCGAGCCTACAGCAGTGACCTACGCTACTGTGTATGTTTATACCTGTGTGCTGATATGTCTGCGTTGCTCTGCCAATAACATCACCAAAAACACTAGTTGGCGATGGGTATTCTACACCACTGTGTTAAGTTTCTTTGTGTACTTCAAACAAGGGCGAAGGAAACTGAAATGTAAATTTGATGCAGGAGTGTAAATCAGGCTTTACATTTGCCAGGCAGCCAGACACACTAACTCCAAATAAATGCTAATGTTTCCCCGTATATCTGCCTAATGTGTAACTGTGATGCAACTGCTAACAAGTTTGCTTTACCAACTTAAAAGGTGATATGCAAGTCTTGTGTTCACAGTTTGTTTTCGCTGACCTCAAGAGGCCAAAATAAATCAGTTTCTGCAAGTTAAAGAATAGGACTTGGGTTAGACATGTTGTGGTTATGGTTGAGGTGAGGGTCTCCAGTGCAAGTGACAAAAACTGTTTTGTGTGTGTGTGTGTGTGTGTGTGTGTGTGTGTATAAGTACCCATCAGGGAAGATAACAGGCATGGTCAGTCTGTCCAGCAGAGTTTTCCCTGAAGAGTCGACTTCATCCAGAGATTCCGCATCCACACACTCCAGCTGTAACACCTGAAACACAGTAAACACACATGTACTGAAGCCAAATTTATACTACAAGTATAAGGACCAGTGTGTCCACTACACATTTTAATTTCTACCCAGTATCAGCTGATACGATATAACACATAATAATAATAATAATAATAATAATAATAATACTACAGTGAGGTGTCTCTCTCAGCCTGGCTCACCTTTTCAGCGGCAGTGTGGAAGGTCAGAGTCAGCTCTAGTCTCTGTTGTCTCTCCTCAGTGCTGACGGTAAACTGTTTCCAGACTCGGTTGAGTCTCGGCAGAGTATCTCCGGACGAGCGCGTCGTACAGCGCAGAGACTGACAGAGGACGACGGTCGCCTGCAGCAGTTGACGGCCGTAATCATAGGTGCTCTGAAGGAAAAGACAGGACGGAACACAGAGACAAAAAGAGAGACGGAATTATTGTCAGTATGTCTGTCTTTTGTTTTCAGAATGATTTCATCCTAGTTTAAATTTTTTAGCCATACTAGCAGCACAGTTCTAGGGATGGCAATGACTGTCAGTCTGTTGGTCCACCACTTCAGTACATACTTAAATGTCTTATGGGATGGATTACTATGAAACTTGATTCAGACATTCATATCCCCCACAGCCTGAATTACTTTATCTTTGGTGATCCTCTTTCTCTAGAGCCATCATCAGGTCAAAATTTTAATACGTTCAGCACTTTGATAAATAACTACCAAATTATTTAGCTCAAAGCCACTAGCATCGCTGTGGATAATTCAATATTATAATTTTGCAGTTTTGATTACAGTCAGTGTGTCAAGGCTGAATACAAGCTTTAGTACCAAGTTATTGTCGCTGGCTGAGCTGAAGGAGACAGATTCTGACGAGCCTTTGCTGTGTGATATCTCGCAAAAGGTTAATTTTCATACATCTTCTGGGGACGCTCTTTATTCAGGCAAGGTCTAAAATAAAATTGCTGCTCTCATCAATATCTTAACATTAACAATAGATCAAGTGACTAGGAGTAGTCTGGAAGTGTCTCACCTGAGCGACATCCACAAACTTCCTGTGTTTGTCCAGCATGGTCCTGGTCTCTTGAGTGTCTTCACCCAGTCTGACGTGAGTCTTCAACAGGGCGTCCAACAGCTCGCCAAGCCACTCTACTGCCTGAACACACACACACACACACACACACACACACACACACACACACACACACACACACACACACACACACACACACACACACACACACACACACACACACACACATGCATTATCTCATCAATATAGATAGTACTGTTAGGTTTGTGTGTGTGCTGTTGTTGTTGTTGTGTGTGTCCTACCTGTAAAGCATCTTCTTCACATTTGAACAGTTGGACCATCTGTAGCATCTTCAGCCTCCTCACGTCCACCATGTCCTCACACCTGCAACACACACACAGAACACACACTTTACTTTCAAACCAAGTAGGAAAGGTGCTACACAAATAAAGTTTGACTGATTAACACCCAGTAAAAATAGTAAGACTCATGGGAGCTGTAGTTGTTGAATGCTGACAGTGGGAGTCTCCAGGTGCTAAAATGTGATCATCAGATAGTAGATTTCACTTTTCAAGAAAGACAGATAAACCCCACGTGGCTCGCTGCTGAACTCTGCAGTAAAAAAGAAGAAGAAGGAGTTACCTCTGCTTGCGAAGTTGCATCTCCTCCATCACAGCCTGGATGTGCTGAACGTTGTCCTGCTGTTCTCCCGCTGGACTCTCTGTCTCCTCCAGGGACCATGACGGTTGGCTGCACATCTGCTCCATCAATAGCGCCCCCTTCTGACGCAGAGAAGTAAGACCTGCCTCTGCATGGAGGGGAGACGGTTACAAACTTGACTACAACTATCAGTTAACAATGTGTCACTGCTTTAGTCTAAAACAAGTAGATGTACATAAGGAAAATTAACAAGATTTATCATTCAGAGCACGAACCGACAGTCTGCAGCTTCTCCTCCAACAGTTTGAGGTTTTGTTGAATTGAAGCTCCGTCGGCTGGAGCCACGTCAGCACAGAGCATGCCCAGTAGACCGTCCAACTGCTGGGACAACTGCAGAGACAGGGACAGAACTTTGATTGCTCTGACTTAAATTAAATTGTCTTGCCCCTTGCCCACATTTGGCTTCATCCAACTGTTGATCCATCAGTTTACCTCCGGAAAATGTGTGTGCGTGTGTGTGTGTTACCTCCTGTGTGTTGCTGTGGAAGCCCTGCGCTGCCTGCAGGACGTTCTGTCGGCCCTCTAGCTGAGCTGCCTGTCTGTAGCACACGTCGCTCAGTTGCTGCTGCAGCGCCTTCAGCTCCACCACTTCCTCCTCCTCCCCGGCACTGAGCAAGGCGGCGATCTGCTGGTTCAATTCCACATACACTGCAAACCACTCCTGAAAACACACACACACACACACACACACACACACACACACACACACACACACACACACACACACACACACACACACACACACACACACACACACACACACACACACACACACACACACACACACAAAATCAGCCCAATGCTCACATTTACCACCAGTGTAACTTTAATGGATTTGTTCTCCAACAGAACTCACAAAAACTCTTTCACATAAAACAAGCTAAAACTGAACTTGTGTAATAAATGCTGCCATAATGATGGTTATTATGTTCAGTTTTTGTTAAAACAGTGTTTAACAGGCCTTGGTTTAACTTTTTGAAGATTGCCGTTTGTGTTCATGTGAAATTGTATTGCAATAAACTGACAGAAGTTTCTAATATATTATATGTACTCTGATATAAATGGTGTTTATATAAACGATACCATGAATAGTCATTTTCAGTCGACACAGAAGCTGAGGTAGAGGTTGCTAGGAGCGGTTATTTGAGGAGAAAAGTTTGACATGGTGGAAAATATGCTTAGTGGCTTTCTTGCCTGTAGTTAAATGAGAAGATTAATGTCACTCTCATATCTGCGCGTTGAATATGGATTCAGGAAACGGCTTAGCTTAGCATAAAGACCGGAAACAGGGAGACAGAGACTCGCTTGTTTAATCCGAGTCTTGACTCCTGGGTGTGTAATGGTCATAATCAATGTCATGTGAAACGCACTGAACAGTGAATTTGTCTCTGCGATCAAACTACAGACTACAGACAGTTTGTCCTCGTCACGTGTGTGTGTGTTTGTGTGTGTTCAGCGTGTTGCATTACACTGTGCTGGCTCTCAATCTCCTCGTGTTTCTGCTGCAGGGCCTGAGCTGCTCGCATCGAGTCTCCGATCTCCTGCTGGGTCTTCAACAGCTCCGAGCCTGGACCCTGCAGCCAGGTGACCACCTGAGTTAAAGAGAAAGAGAAGACAAAAAGAATACAGACTTAGATATCTCCTGTAGAGGGAGGAATGGAAGGAAGAGGGAGGTGCTGTCCATAGACGGTGTTAGCTGATGTGGATGGACATGAAACTCTTCACTTGAACCATCAGTAAGATGGAGGTCTGCTGTGCAAATGTGCAGTTCAGCAGAGCGAACAGCAAGGGGCTCTCAGGCTCTACGCTCTGATGGCATTCACATCTAACATCTAGATTTTCTATGATGGTCACTGTCCACAAAACTTTCCTTATAGTAGTTTCCTTTTTTTAATCCATATTTTTCTTGAAATCCTTGTGGAACAGAAATATATTTATATGCAACAGTAATGCTAATTTAAGTTGCATCCTCCTAGTGCTCCTAATAGCATATTTAAGAATCCACCAGGCCTGAATGAAAACAACCAGTCAGAGCTGAGAAAGATAGAAAGGTGTTGGTGGCTTAAAGATAGTTGCTGGACTTTCCACTTCCCACCTGAGAATGAGACTCAACAATGAAATATCTTTCTTGGCTCTGATTGGTTGTTTTCGATCAGACCCGGTGGATTCTTGTAAATATCATTAGAAGCACTACACCAAGCCAGATTAACCTCATTGATTTGTTCATACATTATCTGTCTCATGTACTACTGTCAGGATATATATATGAAAGCAAATGTATTAGTTATTTATGTAAAAGTTAACAACTGCAGCTTTAAAATACATAAAGTGAGAAACAGATGAAGCATATCAATGGTGGGAATTATATCACATCATACAGACCTAATTAAAAAAATAAACTGAATGTAGGAACTGGCTGTTAATGGGGCATCCCAGTGATTTATCATTGTTCTTTCATTAGGCTGCAGGAGACAAAAAAGCTCATTTTAAATATAAGGATCAAAATCGAAGCACTAGAGGCAGAGCTATCCTGACCTTTAGTCCCCACTATGAGCCAAGCTCTGGATCCTACATTTCCCATAATGCAACTCAATGTGTCTTATAAATCCCCTCTGCCTGGTAAAAGCCCACATCTTTCCAACTCCACATCCCAAGTTTGTAACAACAGCTGCCTCTTCCAAGTACAATGTGAGATAACCCTGATGACATAAACCAAGCTTCACATGTACAATCAGTGGACTGTCCCTTTAAACTTAAAGTTTCATAAATAAAGTCAGAAATGTGTGTAAGAGATAAAACACTCTGCAAGTCTTTTTTATATACCTTTGTTTTTTTACTAATTCTTATTTAAATATCCAACTAACCACAATATTTACAATGTAAACTAAATTGATTTGTGGAAAGTGTTTGTTTTTTATTTTTATACTATATATGCATGCATGCTGCCAGTGTTTGTGGTTTAAAAAAATAAAATCATATATATGATACATGTTTATGATTAAAGTTGAAATGTTGAAAACAGTAAGAGTACAGTAACACTTGGAACTGTCTGTCCAGATGTGTCTGTGTCAGTACCATAATGTAATTGTATTTATCAGGTCAGTGATGCCTTAAAGAGCTAACACACAGAGTTCGATCCACAACTAGGCCAACCCCCCACCTCAAATCCTCCAGGCTAGTGACCGACATGTTACGGTTACCATGGCAACCCCAGGCTCATCTCCAAGATGTGTTTACCCATCAGCCCCCGTGGCTACAGGAACCCCAGTAACCACAGTAGAGTGTACTTTTGCCGAAGTGCTGTGGGGCAGAGAAGCTGCTCACTGACACTGTTTCCGAGGGTCAAAGGTCAAAGATTTGATGATAAAAGAATCAGGGTAAGAGACCCTGTTTACAAACTGCACATTTACAGACGGTGTGTGTTACCTGCATAACCTTGGCATGGATCTCGTCTAGCTGGGTGCGTTTATTTCGCTGCCTGCAGAGCTCCTGGTATCTGGTGTACTGCTCCCTGAGAGAGTCCAGCAGCTTCATCACCTGAGGCTGAGCAAGCAGCTCCTCCTCCATGGGACACCAGGCCGGACCTAAAGGTCAGAGGTCAGAGAGTAGTCAGGCAGGGGATACAGCACAGGACATCTCTTCATCTCTGATCTAATAGTACAAAAGGTGCCTGCAATGGTGGTTGCTGGTGAGGTACCTCTACGGTGGGCGTTTAAGTCCCACACTATTCAGCATTCTGGGAGTATGTGTAATACACTGGCATCATGGAGGTACACTCACTTATTCATAATGAGTACTTAAAAACAGTCAACATCATGATTTGAGTGTAACTCATACATGGCCAGATGTATGTGGACACTTAAGCATTGCAGCCATATGTGATAGTTGAACTTGTCATCTCAAAACTAGAGGTGTAATATTGTATTGCAATATTTGGTTTTGTGACATTGTATTAATTCTTAAAAGCACTGTATTAATTTCTGTGATTGAACACCTAACCGCTAGATAGCAGTGTTGTGAATGTGAACTAAGAGGTATGACGCTGGATGTTACAGGGAATTTTTCTCAGATATGGGATGGGACAATATACGATATTATCGTGTATCACAATAAACACTAAGATAAATTTATTGTGAATTTCCATTATATAGACTATAATTGTGAATATCCTTCTAGTCAGCATACAGTCCTATATTGATTTCCTGTTTGAGTTGTATGGGAATAGTACAGATTCCAAAATAAAGAACAGGGAGATGAGGTGACTATCTGTGATGCAGTAAATAAATATATGTGTATGTTTTAGTGCCATTTTAAAAGTAGGAAGTATATTTTCATGATTGGTGATAATATTGCGTATTGCAATTATTTTGGCCAAGATAACTATGACATGAAATGTTCATATCATTCTGTGCCTAGCTCAGATTTTATGCATATTGTGAACAGTTTGCTAAAATTAGATTAAAATAATTCCCAATATATCGCCTTGCTTACAATATTGCAATATATCGCAATATACTGTATTGTGATACATATCGTATCACCGGACTCTTGCCAATACACAGCCCTACTTAAAACCATGAGCTTTAATCTGCTGCTATGACAGCCTCCACTCTTCTGGTTTCAGGCTTTCCACCAGATTTTGAACCTGGCTGTTGAGATGCCTTAGAGATCACTGTGGATTACATTAATGGTCATGCTTACCGGTATCCTTATACAGTACCTAGACCTCTAGCAGTACCCTCATACATTGACTCATACTGTGCTAACCTACATAGTTATCTGGAACTACTGAGTTCAGAAAATAATTGTACAAAACAATGCATGTGTCATCCGTTCATTCATCCATTTATCCACTCCTTAGTGTGAGCTGGACCAGCACAGTGACACCTGGATTACTGACAACTGCTTCCTCACCTCCCTGTCCTCCTCCTCCTCCCTCTGAGCCGTTAAAACGACGCTGCTGCAGCTCCGACAGCAGCTCATGACCTGCAGACACAGACAGAGGGAGAGAGGGAGAGAGGGAGAGGGGGTTGGTTTGAGATTTAAAAGCCTGTTATAAAAGCATTTGAAACAATAAAGCATCAGTGTTTGTGTACATTCTGTTACATTATGAAAGGAGCTGGCAGAGAGAGGAGGGTGGTACCACAAACAAAGACTCCTTTCACCTCTGCCCAACACACAGACACAGGCTGCTCAGTACAGTGAACACAGCCATCTATCCACCCATCCTCAATGTCTATTTAATCCAGGTCTTGGTGGCAGCACACTAAGTATCTGCGACCTCCTTCTCTCCAACCACATCATCCAGGTCAGGGTCAGCTCAGATACCCTGCCAAAGAAACTTAGTTTGGCTGCTTGGATCCACGATTACATTCTTTCAGTCACTACTCACAGCTCGCTACCACAAGTGAGAGATGAAACACAGCTCAGTGGTTGTGTACACAGTAAGTAAGCAATAAGAAAGTTGAAAATAGGGTGCTGGTTGAGTTATTATGTTGACTGTATGAGCTGTTTTTGATTTATTTTTTTTACCTCTTTTGCACTGCGAGGTTGGAAATCCTCCTTGATAACATAAAAACTGCGAATGAACTGATTTTAATGTTTTAATTTAGTTATTATTACAGAGATATTAAAGGATAGGTTCACAATTTTTCAAGTGTGTCTTAAAACAACAGTCAGGTGCCCATTTGAACATTGAAAGAGGAATTGCTTGTTGTAATTATTCCTCCTGTTCTTACTGGCCATTAAAAGATACCTCCCTAATGCGATTTGAATCTAAGTGATGGGGGGCAAAATCTAGTGTCCTTGTTTTGTGCAAAAAATTATCAAAACGTTTATCTGAAGCTAATGTGGGGCAAGTCAAAAATCAAATAGATACATTTCAAAGTTAGAACCTTTTCAGAATAAAATCCTTGTGCTTCCTTGTGGGGACAGTATCTTAATCAAGCTCAGACATGAGACCAACATGTAAATGCCAGTCTAAGTCTAAAAGAGGCTTAAATGAGAGAAGATAATATTTACCGGTCTGAAGGACAGTCTCAGGGTCAAAGGACGGCAAGAGGGCGCAGTCAGCTGATCTGCAGAAGACAGACAAACACACAGCTTTGGATTACATCTGTGTACTTTTAATAAATTATAGTACTCTGTGTGTGTGTGTGTGTGTGTGTGTGTGTGGTGTGTGTACGTGCACATGCGTACTTGTCCTTGTCCACCGTGCTGCTCTTGTCGCTTTCGTTGATAATCGACAGCTCGTCCAGCAGCGATGTCGACTCCTTGGTGAACTTCTCAAAAACCTGCAACGAATGACAAATCAAAACAGACACGCTCAGACCTGGGGCCAGGTTACCATGGCAGCGAGCATTTTTATAAAATAGGAAATAGATGAATTTAGTGACCAGTCTTTTGTTGAGCCAGTCGCTGTGGTCGTAGTCCAGACTTCCCCCAAAATCGTCGGTCAGCTGACAGGGTTCGATGTAACGAGTCAGCTTATTGGCCGAAACCAGGATCACCTGACAGGAAGGAAAGAGACCACCATGAAAAAAAGCTTAATTCAATTTATGCAATTTAGAAACTGTGCCATGTGAATCATATTAACTGTGAAATACAAGAAATTGAAGAACAAAACACTGACATGTTAAATGAATCTGACTCTTAATTATCTAACCTTTTTATGGAAATGTTTGACTTTTAGGTCGATCCCTGTGTAAATCTATTATAATAATCTAATTATAACATTAAACTATCTGCATCACACACAAACACTGAATGGGACCTCCATACATGATTCTCACTTTGAACAATTCACATATCCCCAAAACGCTTACATTGATTTTGTTTGTGGGGGAAATATCTTGTATAAGCTTTCCTCTTGCATGTTTCAGTACACTGAAGCATATATAATGTTGGACACAATGCATGATGGGTAGTAATAATCATGACAATGGTTGCTTTTCATACTGCTAATTAGGGCTCCTCCTTCCCTCGCTTTTCTGTCCTCCAGCCAGTGACCCAAAAACTGAGCGAGGTCTGCCATTAGAGAAGAAACCAAATCCTCCAATGTGTCTTGGAGGAGACGAGGAGTGAGGACAGAGGACAACGAGTGTATCATCTTCTGAGGTTTTTCTTTACTGGACGGCAACACCCCTTCAGGGCAGACTGTTTATTAATAGGTCAGTTGAGTTGAGTTGATAGGGGTACAGAATGTACATCCAGCTGCTGTGGAAAAATTATCAGCACCAATGAAAAATAATTATTATTTATACATCTTTGCCGCGCAACCAACCAGCCCACTGGCATTCATTGTACATCAGCACAGAGAACTGTAGTACCCCTGTGACAAAATGCTCAATTCTTATGATTTGGAAAGTTAGAAAAACAAATCTTTTAACTCTCCGGGAATCTTATAAACATGTAAGGAAGCTGCATAGTGCAACTGCCATGTTTTCGTATTGTCACATTGTTGTTTTTCCATCTGTAAATCTGTAATAAAATCTAAATGGGAAAATAATAATTAATTGTAGAAGCATGTGTGTCTTTCAGCACAAAAGATCTATAATTGGTCTAATTTGAGGAGCAGTAATATGGCTGCCAGGTGTTGTCTCCTCAAAATGACTCTAGGAGTGATTGATGATGTCCCGTCTGTTAACACTTCCTTCATCCTCGCACCTCTCTCTTGCATCCCCGCTGGGAGGACCCGAGATGTGAGGAACACATGAGTGAGGAGCCACGTTGGGCAAATGATCTGATTCAGTATTTGAGGGAGAGCATTCTGGCATAATTGACATAATTATAGTCCTTGTTTTCCTACTGACTTACTGTAGTCAGCAGAAATTATTCCTCAAGGTACTTTTAGCTTCTTTAAACCAAGTTACTCATACTTCCTACTAAGAACTTTCTGACTTAAATGTCATAGAACCATTTCTCAGCTGTTTTATATATACCAGGGCAGATCACAGATTATATATCTAGCATTTGCTTTAGTCTGTTGACCCAAGAGGTGTTGGATCACAAGACAAGTTTCTCCTTCAGCTTCCCAGAGTGTTTTCTAAATCTGGAGATAGAGCGTGTTCACAGAGAGCCTGCGAGCGGATTTGAGGTTTTACAAAAGACCTTCTTCTATGAAGAAAACTAAAGTTTCAGCATTCACGTCAAAACACACACATTTACCAATCAATTTTTGTGTCTGTCTGTAAATTCTGTGTGTTTCATCCTTCCATCTCTCACACATTGAGCTGCATTTGTATGAAAGGTGTCTTTCCAAATAAACCTGGACAGTCAGACAGACAGCTGGTAGTGAGTCTGCCCTCCAGTTGTCACTGCAGCAGATGCTGTCAGAGAAATTGGACTTAACTCAGTGTGTGTTTGTGTTTGTGTGTGTGTGTGTGTGTATGTGTGTGTGTGTGTGTTTATTTAAATGTTAGGTCAGACTTTAGAGCAGCTGTACAACGCACACCCCACTGTGATATCCACACACACTCTTCATAGCTAAGATGAGTCACATTTCAACGCCGTCACTGGAATCTCCCTTCCAGCAGCTGTGTGTGTGTGTGTGTGTGTGTGTGTGTGTGTGTGTGTGTGTGTGTGTGTGTGTGTGTTTGGAGTGAGTAAATACTAAAATAAAGTGAAGAAGATGAGCGCTGATTCAAACCAGATTTAAACAACACAGTCACATTATTGTCATTGTCATACAGTCATTACTTATCAAAGATTTTTCCTTTCAAAATATATAAAATATTTAAACAATTAGTAACTCTCAACTTAAACATGAGCAAACATGGACATTATGAGTAGAATAAAGTGAAGATGAGTCATTCCTTGCATTAAAACTGTGCTGTTCCTCAGCCGACTGTTAAATGTCGGGGTGTCCTTGAACGCACCAGCAGGGACAGCCTCAGCCTCTCAGCACACAATGATTAACTCCACTTCGACTAAAAATGAAATAGTCATCTAAAGGCTGACTGGATTATCTATCTGCAGCAACTTTCAGGTTGCTACAGGCCCACCAACTTGCTCCGGTTACCGTGGCAACAACTGTGCCAACGTGGCTGCAGAAATCTGGGTCACCGTGACTACTGATCTCTGTCGGTAAAACCATCTGTTGTAATAGAGGAGGCCGAAATCTCTCACACACACACACACACACACACACACACACACACACACACACACACACACACACACACACACACACACACACACACCATCAGTCCTGGCTCGGATTTCTAAAGGACAGTTAATGATGCTCAAGGTTATCATAAGTGGCTCAGTTTCTCTTTGTTTGACATCAGATAACAACACAATTCAGTGTGTGTGTGTGTGTGTGTGTGTGTGTGTGTGTGTGTGTGTGTGTGTGTGTGTGTGTGTGTGTGAGTGAGTGAGTGAGTGAGTGTGAATTTTGGACCAAACTGCAAAAACTGGATATACAAATGGTCTGTTTGTGTCTGAAGTTATTTGAAACTGGTCTCACCCATTTCTGTCCACCCCGCCTGCGAGTGTGGCCATTCACAACGTCTCTGAACAATTTGGCCCTTACACTTGGTGGGACAACAAGTCAGACAAACTAGTGTGTTTCAACATTGTGGAACTTTTTAGTAATTGTGGAAAGCAGGCCAAGAGGTGGACCGTTAGATTTCTCAGCAACTGGCAGAAGTGTGAATACAAAGTGCAGTTACAGTGTACAAGGAAAAATTAAAAGGATAAAACAAACACTGCACGTTTGGGCCAAATGTTTGTATTGTCCCCAGCAGGCACTTGGATTCAGTACAAACAGCGGCTCTGTGAGGCTGTGCTTCGGCAGTGCTTTGAGCCACAGGTAGGGGTGTAACGGTATACAGAAGTCACACTTCGGTTCATACCCCAGTTTATGAGTCACGGGCTGGTGTGAGTTTGGCACAGCGGGAAAAGAAAACCCTTCTGCCTCTATGGGCAGAACTCACACTGATGTGTTACGTGCATCAACCTACTGTACATACTGTGTAGTCTGCGTGCAGCTGCTTGCATCAGACTGCGACCCACGTACCCTGGCGGTTCAGCACGAATACACAAACTGTTACAACCCTAGTAAGTAACTGCACATTAGTACATCTGTAAAACTCCCCATGGCAATCCATCCATCCAATAGTTGTTGAGATATTTCAGTCTGGACCTCAACCGACACTGTCATCTCTAAATCCAAGATAGCATGAATAAAAACTTACATAGTTGGTCCCTCTGTTGCCTTTCTAATGACGTATATCTGCAATGTCACAGCAGTGTAAACACAGGGAGAAACCTTGCAGGTTGTTAAGTTCCTGCAGTGGAAAAGAGAACCAAACCCTACAACCAAACCATTTGAGGTTGACCAGAGATGCTTTTCTGGACTATCCCTGAGCTCAATAACAGCTTTCATACTGCAACAAATGTGCATCATTTTCTTGAAAAATAGCCTCAGATTGAAAAAAAACCTCTGTGATCCTTTGAAGTGAATTTCTTGTTGGACATAAACGAGTCCTTTTCAGGAACCTCTCAGCACAGGAGAGTGCACATGAAGGAAACTTGAAGCAGTTTAACAAGCAGCAGTTTAGACACTCACCTCAAAGCCCAGGCGGTCTTTCTCCTTCCAGAAGCAGAAGTGTGTGACCTTCTTATCCCAGAATTCATCCGGCTTCACCACACAGACCAGCGACACTTCGGCTGGAATCACATTCTGAAAACGGCACCAACAGCATCATCATCATCCTGACATAAAATGCAGTCATGTATGTCATCATTAGGACCCATATTGTGTGTTTGTACCTGCAACATGAGCACCACAGTCTTCACAATGTTCCACTGAGACTTGCGTCCGTCTACGATTACGGTGAAACCCCGAGCCTTACACTTCTCACTGAGAGAGCGGAGAGAGAGAGAGAGAGAGAGAGAGAGAGAGAGAGAGAGAGAGAGGCATTTAATACAACACGGATATCATTCAAATTATGAACACCAACATTTACATAGTTTCCTGTTTGTGCAGTATTTTTGGGTTGTCCCATCCAAAGGGATTCATCCGTTAAGCTGCCAAGAACTACCGCTGTCACAGAATGTCACCATGGGGAGCTCAAAAAGACAGAAAGTCATTGCGACTTCTTCCAAAAGCCTGACAGGAGACGGTGAGAGTATGCGACTGAAAAACAAGATAACCAAAGGTTTGATCTCCGTTAGGCTTTTATGGAAGTGTTTCACTTTTACGTCAGAAAAGCCTTCAAGGATGAGGACTCTCTGTTAGTTTCTCAGGGAACCTTTCCCGACAAGACTAGTCAGAAAAGTGTTTGTATCTTCATAAAGCAGTCGGAAAGGATCGTCTCATATTCAGGCCAATACGGTTCAAGATAAGATTTGTGTTGTAATAAACAGGAATCATCCTTTGAGCCTTTCACAGCACAGCTTAACATGCTGGATTCAGAGACTGGAGCTAAGATACAAAGTACAGATCCAGCAGCTCCGCAGTGACAGGTTCACTCCAAAGAGTCCAAACATGTCCGAAGGCATTAAAAAATGAGACAAAACGGTCTTCTGTTAACATAACTGCACACAGACACATACCAGAATGTCACTACTGCTGCCAGTACTGCATGTGTGAGTGTGTGTGTGTGTGTGTGTGTGTGTGTGTGTGTGTGTGTGTGTGTACCTGGGGATGCTGAGTAGGTAGTCCAGTGTGGCACTGAGCTCCTCCATGCTGGTCTGATCTGAACTGAGAGGGATGGTCAGGATCAGACCACTGCGCCGGTCTTTGCCCCCTAAAGAGAGACGGACCGGTAGAAAAGGAACACATCTGATTACGGACCAAACTGCGTGTAAACGAAGAGTATACAGTCCTCACAGCGAGGAAACACATGTACACAAGCTATCTTACAGTGTGTGTGTGTGTGTGTGTGTGTGTTTGGGTGTTTTACCTGACAGAAAGGCCAGTTTCTTCTTGAGGATGGGGAGGATGGTGGTTGCTTCCATGTTAACGTTGGACATCTGTAGACACACGCACAACACTTAAAGGATAAGTTCACATATTTTCCAAGTCTATCTTAAAATGATATTCACATGCTCAAAGTACATTGAAACAGTTAGTGGTTGCTGTGATTGCTTCTCTAGTCCAGGGGTTCTCAACATGAGCTTCAGGACCCACAAGTGGGTCACAAGATAATTTCCAGTGCTCGGCAAACACCCACCTGATTATTCTGGAGGGTTGCGACTCTAAAAAGGTTGAGAACCACCGCTCTAGTCCAAACTGGCTATGAAGAGATTCCTCCTTAAAGCAATTGTAATGGAAGCTATGGGGAGACATTTGGTCCAAAAACTAAAGCCTCAGACTAAGACACCCACAGCTTCATCCTAGTAGTCCACGGACACTAGGCCCAGATAAGAGCCCACAATCTGAGACAGTAGCCAATATGCTAATAGCATTCTTGCTCTGACACTATCGCACATCTTTGTGTACCCCGTCTCTACACTGGATTAGAAAACAAATATATAATAGTTATCATAGTATTATTATAGAATTCAAAGACAAGAAAGCACACTAATCGAGTATATCATATCATGGGTGATGAAGTCAACCACCACAGGGTCACTAGGGTGTAAGAAGATACTAATACACTTGAGTATTGTGATATTTTGTGACGTTGTATCGATTCTCAAAAACACTACATCGATTCTTGTGTTTAAACCCTGAACTACCAGATAGCAGTGCTGTAAACATAAATGTATCACAATGTATCGCCTTGCTTACAGTAATATATTAAATCTGAATCGTGATATGTATCTTATCACCAGATTCTTGCCACTGGTCACTAATACACACTGCAGCAGCGCAGACACTACAATCCCCTGCTGGAGCGTTACAGGGATATTATAGACACACAGAGATTTTCCATAAGGATTTTCCCTCAGCTGGCATTTCTCCCAGCAGATTCAGATTCTTGGCTTCACATTCAGCTAGTGATTTACTGTCTGTTTCATCAGTGTGTTTGCACAGTTAAAGCTGACAGTCAGTAAATCAGTCGGTTAACATTTCTGTCAGTGTCATTTTAGTTTGAACTGACTGATTACATTTGTAATGATGCAGCCCTCTTTTAAACTGTGAGAAACCTGCCTGTTTTCTGTCCTACAGTGTAGATCTCAGCACTACCCTCTCTCTCTCTCTCTCTCTCTCTCTCTCTCTCTTTAACCCTCTCTGCTGGTTGTATTATTGATATACTGATACTGGTTTATATGCTGTATTGTTTCTTATTCAATAATCTGAGGATTAGATGAGAAGCAAGGAAGCAAGAAAGCGACTAAATCTATTTTCCAAAATGAACTACTGCTTTAAAAATCTTTCAATCTGACTTTGTGTTTGTGTGTCTGTAGTTTTGTCGTCATTTGTAAAGTCTGTTTATTATAATGAATTTTTTACATAGTAATACAATAACCTACAAGCCCCTTTCTGTTCAATACATTAATTGCTTGTAAATTGTGACACAGTAACTGCTGACCCACACTTTCCACCTCCCTTTATTACACAATTATGTGTTGTATTTTCATATGTGTAGTATATTTATATATTGTATACTGGGTTTAATTTAATATGTACAAACATCTCAAGCATCTTCTGTTTTCAAATAGTGTTATCCATCAAATCTGAACAAACCACACTCACACAGTCCTGACTATTTTAAACTAATATACAAAAACAAATGTTTTTCCCCCAAAAGTTTTACTTTAATTGTTGCTAATCTAGTCATGATAAAGAAAACACTCAAAACCAAGAAGCCTGTTTTGAAGCCTGTTTGTTTGTTTTTGCCTGTTCTGCTGAACTGTGTTTCAAAATAAAACAATAACTCCATTATCTGACACAATTAAAAGTCACTGTTATCACGAGCTTTGTCAGTGGTGGTGATAGTGGTAGTAACAGCGTTTGTGATGATGAATGAGTCTTGTTACTGCAGCACCAGTCAGTCCTGCTGCAGGGGTTCATCTTCATCCTCCTCCTCCTCCACAGCCCGCCTGCGGCCTGGCTGCAGCTGCAGGACGGCCCGGCCCGGCTCGGTTTGTCTCGGCTTGGTTCGGCTCGGCCCACAGACACAATGACCTACATTCAGCGGCTGCATGCTGCGGTGGCTGCGGCTCTAACCTCCCTCACCTCAGCCCCGATCCACTCAGCATCGACAGCTCTGGGATCAATCAGCAATAAGTATCGATCAGGCGGATTTTCTTACCTTTCAGTCAGATCTGCAGCATTCTACTGTCCCGATTTTTCCCCCCCTGTCCTCCTCTTCCTCTTCTCCTGTGTCTCTCCTTCTCCTCTGCAACTCTTCCTCTCGCCTTCCTCCTCCTCCTCTCTCTCCTCTCGGGCTGATTTATCAACAGATGTTCAATCTGTTCACCATTAAAAATCACTGAAGGTCTCGGTTTGTTGTCCGTTCGCCTTCAACAACAGTGGAAACACACAGACAGCAGGCGGTGGACCTCGCTGCTCCGCGCAGCCGCAGTGAAGCTCAATAAAGGAATGCGACTTCCGGTAAAGCGACATTCCAAATAAAAGCCTGAAGGAGGAGCGCGTTGATCAGAGACTGAGCAGATTGTTGGGTTTGAAAGAGTATGGAGGATGCTCACAACAGATGTACATCGAGCTAATACGCATTTTCAATTGCAGTTATTATCTACAGTTTATTTACTTCTTTTTACAACTTGTACATTTTGTCTTAAATTATATTATTAAATATATTAAATATATTAAATAGTTAATTGTTTTTGTTATTAGGCTACTTATTTTGAGCCAGTAAAAGTCTTGCACTCTAAATGAACAGAAGTATTTGCATCAAAATCTATTTAAAGTGCCATAAGTAAAAGCACTCAGTTTGCAGAAAGGCCCATTAAGAATATTATGTTATTGTATCATAATAGAAATGCATTAATATGTATTATTAATGTTGCAGCTGGTAAAGGTGGGGCAAATTTCAACTACTATGTGTATAGACATCATCATTTATTGATTTTATATTTTGTATTCATCTGAATCTGCTAAGTAGGCTAAATAAAGCTGTCAAATAAATGCAATGGAATAAAAAGTACAAGTACCTCAACACTGTACAGTACTTGATTACATGTACTTATAGTCATGTATATAAGTTATACTTTCACCACTGGATATAAACAAGCCATGCTGCAGAGGTCCTGTACGGCTGTAATGGAACTGTTGGATAAACCAAAATATTGAACAAATGGAGGTACTGACCGTAAAGAAAAATCACCAAAGTTCACAAAGACTGTGAATTTCTGCATCAAACTGAGCGACAATCCATCCAGCAGTTGTTGACTATGAACCTCATCAAACTGCTAGAGGAGGGGATCACCAAAGTCATTGGATTCATCCTCTGGAAAACATGGAGGACCAAACCCTCCTGTAGATGTAGAGATATTTCATTGGATAAGTGAGAAATCTGGCTTCAAATTTTGATTTGATGATGGCGCTAGATATAAAGTCTCTGGGCACCGTGAATGTCCTTGGTAATTCATCAAATGGACCAAAGTGGTGGACGTGGACCGACTGACCACTTCTACAGTCTCTGTGCCAGTAGAGTGGCCAAACAATGACTGAAGGATAGTTAGACTGGCAGTAACAGCTTCGGTTGGCCAGTGTTATGAAGTGTTGTGATATCTGAAAAAACGTCATTCTGATGAGTCGTTTGATTTTAATAAGGGCCATCTATTGATCCCTCTCTCTGTGCATTGTGTATGTATTAGTTTATAAATAATAATTAGTTTGTGTTAGTTCTATTTTTGCACAAATGTATACAATTTAAAAAATAATAACTTTTAGGCAAGACCTAAAGACCTCAAGATTATGTAATAATGCCGATGTGAAGGGCCCTATCATTTCAGCTGTGAGGGAATTTCACAAAATCAGTTTTATTGAGACAGATTGCTTTCGATTGGTTTTGCTGATTGAGCTTATTCAGATTACTTTGAAACACGTTTCAGCTTTTTTGTTTTTGTATGTAATTAATAACCCACTGCTATATATTCAGGTTTTTGTAAAAACTTAAATTTTCCATGCTTTTACTTTGAAAGCCTTGTAACCTCTTTTCCGGTAAAACCCCGTGTGGCTTTATGAACCTGGAGCCGTGTATCCGGGGGCGGGGCCACATTCAGACAGACCCCGCCCCATCCAGTTCAGACCACTGAGGCGTTCATGTGCCCTCAGAAACGGCAAAGTGTGACTGTTCAGGATCAGATTTATGTTCAAATGAAAAAGTCTTTTGAAAACAGAAACTCAAAAACAACAAGGCAAGTCTCATTAGATTAATTAAACATATTAAATAATAATCATTATATTTATTAAGAGATATAAGATATGATCATGTCAGTTAACAGTTTTTAGATAATGAATATAGACATTGGGATTTTTATGTATTAACTTATTTATCACATTAAATATATACACATCCATATGTTTGTCTTCATCATACTATTGAAACCAAAAATACATTCTATACAGTATGTACACAGTTTATATTTCAAATTATTACATTGCTAGGGTAATTTTAATAATATCTGTAGTTGGTTTACATGTACATAAAACATCTTATCTGAAACGAGGGTTGATAGAGAGTCTTATGTTGTACAGATTTTAAAGCCCTCTGAAGCAAATGTTTGATTTGACTAACTGCTGCTACAGGAGCAGAATAAATCTTACGTCTCAGAGTCTGAACAGAATTCACGTTCACCTTAACCCATGTTTATGGTTTCTATTTCTTCCATATTTATGCTGAGATTGATTGTCACATTCATGTCATGTCTATTAACTCAAATGCACCGATGTTTCAATCCGTAAGTGGAAACACAGTGAACTTGATCCATACAACTGCTGTGTGATTTTAAATGTTGTTAAATATATTTCAAGGTTTGACTTTGGCTTTAATGTCATTATTTGAGTCCTTATTGTCAGTGAAGCTTTGCAATAGTTTCTTTTGTTGTCTCATAGTTTGTATTTCCATACAACAGGAGCAGCACTCTGCTATTCATAGGGTGTCAGTAAATGCATCTCTGGAGGCTCTGCAGTCATAGGTGGACACAGAAAACAACACCACCATCCTGACAAAATAAAATACCATTTTAAAATATAACATGTTTTTTTTTTGTTTTTTAGGCAATTTTCATGTTGTCCATAGTTGAGTTTTTTCATTTGTTTGTCCGTCAGGAGTCTTATAGATGAGTTGTGCAGATGACCTCAGGTGCAGTAGTCTGGTCTTTAGCTAATTTCCCATCATCCTTCTCCGGAGACGTAGAGGCCCACGGCCACCTGAACCTTGAAGTCAGATGAGAAGAACTGCATCATTCAGACTGCACTTACACAATTTTATAGCTCATATTGTACATTGTATAAACTGTACCTAGTTCTGTGTTTTTAACACATTTTTTGGAATAAACATGTGGTTCAAATTAGTACATTTTCCTTTCATACAGATTTTAAACATATTATTGCTATAATCAACACAAAACAAATATTTTAGGTTTGTCAGTTGGTTGTTGATACGCTCTTGTCCGATCTATACTTGTTGGTCGATGGGAGGCATGTGTTTTGTTTTTGAGGGTTAAGGTTAGTGTTCGAAAAACCATTGATTCTAAGTAAAAAATAACATTCAAAAGTACCCCCTAACCAGCACACAACATTTTTGGTAGAAAAAACCCAATAAAGCTGCCATCAGTGTCTGATCTCTGTCTGAAAGAGACACACAGACAGCGAGTAATGTGAGTGTGCAGACTGACCGCTGTGTGGGTGCCATCTGCTGGATGGTGTCGGGCAGCGGCTGTCTGAAGGTCTCTGGCAGGAAGACGCAGAGCAGAACGCTGAGCAATGACAGAGAACCCACAATGATCCATGGCAGGAACTGATAAAACACAGCTGGAGACAAAACCGGACCAGATCAGTGAGTTTCCTCTCAAAACCTCACCATATAAACCCACAACTACTTGTATCATTAGGTTCAACTTAGGGCAACTTGAGAAAATATGTTGCTCACAGCTACTACAACTGTTACTGGTGGTACTACAATAAATATTCTGATTCTCTGCAGATAGAAAAAAGTCACAAATTGCACAATTTAATTGTAAACTAAGAACTTCACACAAGAACAAACTGGTTCAAATTAATCATATTTGAGGCGTAAATGTCCACAGTTGGATGTACGAAGTGAAAGATTACCAAACTGCAGCAGGTATGGGGAAACAGAGGACCCCACTCTGGAGAACATGGCACAGGATGACATGGCTGTGTTCCTGATGACTGTGGGAGACAGCTCACCAGTGAACATGTACAACACCCCGGTGCCGGCCAGAACGCCAAATTTACCCAGCAGCACCAGGGTCAGGGTGAGAGCTGCATGGCCTGCAGGGAGGAGAAGGGCTGTGAGTTAGTGATGGGGAAAACGAAGCATTTCTGAAATAGTGATTACCCAATAATACCAGGCATAGGCATGTGCAGTGTGTGTGGGGGGCAGGAGTAGAAGAGGCATTTTGTATATACCGGTTTTGAGGGTGGCGTCTTGATTTGTGTCTTGAAAATTGCAAGGCATAGATACAACCGTGTGTTTCTGTCCTCTAACGTAAGCTGTAATTGTTAGCATGCTTGGCCACCAAGCTTACTACATAATTTACAGTAAGGACCTACAGTTAAAGCTGAAGAGTAACAGCTAACTACATTATTTTGTGGCACTACAGGTTACGTTAGAACTGAAACATCCTCTGTGTGGGAGCCAAGGCGCTCCTGTTTCAGGGTGACGTTATCGCCTCTGTCCAGCTCGTTTCCACTCCAGAAACTCCTGCCAAAGGGATACCTGGGATACCATTTCATTTCCGAAATACATTCAAAGACTAAACATACTAACGATAAAACATACTAACTCTAAGTATGGTTTTCTTTAGTAAGCATCCAAACAGGGTCAGAACACGGCCCTGCCAATGGTTTCACATTATTCTGCTAATCAAGGTGCCAAGATATGCAGCAATGTGCCTACAAAGACTGTGAGCTAGTTTACATGTAAACAATGCTGGATTTAAAGCGGGTAAAGTGTGTGTAGGATTTTGTGGCATCTAGCAGTGAGGTTGCAACCTACTGAATACCCCACCTCACCCTCCCCTGCCAAGTGCAGAAAGAAAGAAAGAAAGAAAGAAAGAAAGAAAGAAAGAAAGAAAGCAGTAGAGCTCAGATAGTTTGTGCTGGTCTTACTCACTGTGCAGAGTGATCTGAATGAGGAGCAGAGCTAGCGCCCCCAGCAGGGTGAAACTGATAAAGGACAGGCGGCGAGGAAGATAGCATGCCGCCAGCCAGCTGGCAGTGTACCCTGGGAGTTCAACAACCGTCACCAGGAAGTAGTTTAGGAAGGGGTTGCCATAGAGACTAGACATGTTGAATGATAGTCCAAAGTAGCTTACACTCATAGAAAACCTGAAAAAAAGAAGAGAGCAAGCTAGTTGTTGAGATGCTGTATCTTGATGTGGATGGACAAACTAATGGATCATGCTCTTGGCAGTAAAAAAAAAAAAAAAAACTAGAAAAGTTCCTGAATACCAGAGAAAATTCTTGCAGTGTGAAATTATTTGAACTCACCAGATGAGCCACAGCATAAGTGTCATATTTCGAATGTTTGTGGTCTTCAGCAGGTCCAGGAAGCTGAGGGACTCAGCTGGTAGACTCTCTTTTTCAACCTATGGAGAGACAGAAACTTCAGTACACTGTCCTTTAGTGTGTGGAACAAGGCTGAGGTTAGAGGTTCTTACTTTGGCTGAGACAAAAATTAAATGTGGAGCTTCCACTCGATTCTCCAGAGCTGCTGACCTCAGCAGGAGTTCTGCTTCCTGCAAACGGCCACGAGACACCAACCAACGAGGAGACTCTGGAACCAGCCTGCAGACAGACAGACAAACAAAACTATACTAAACTAAACAAATCAGCTGAAAATGTTTGGTTGAAGACCTGGTTCATCTATCTCTGAATTAGACTCTTTCACAGTCATGTTTTCACAGTTTTCTAACTCTAACCCTGACATATTTCATTCTTTCACCTTTTATCTGCAATATAATTAATCAAGTAGTAAGTACACAAGCTACAGATATATCTTGATAGTGTACTGAGATCATCTTACCACCAGAGGGGGATACAGGCTATGCCTGGCACGGCCATGAGCAGTGACAGATGTCTCCAGTTCCTGACCAGGTAGGCAGTGCCAGGCAGCAGCATCATACTGAACACGTAGACAAAAGGCAGCCACAGGTTGGTGAAGAAAACTCTGGTCGAACCAATCAGGACCTCTGAACCTGTTCAGGAAACACTGTGTTTAAAAAACTTAGGATTTAGGGCTTTACTAATGTAACTTTTTATACCAGGGGCCCTGAAAAACAAAAAGTCTCATCTAAATAGTTTACAGTCCTGTCTTGACTTTAAGAGCAGGTGGGGAAAATAGTTTTGCCAGGATTAAGTCTTAAACAAACACAGGAGGTAAAACAATTTTGATCAGACTTAGAAGTTTTTGTCAGGGCCTCCATAGATTTGCAAAAAATACCAAAAGTAACTGTGTTTTCACTTTTGTTGTAAAGATATTTTGTTGGTTGAAAGCACATAGAGAAGATGATAAAATTTCAAATGTGTCTCATCGATATAGACATGCTTATTCTGTCCTCTAATGAGACTTAACACTAGAGCACACAACCAGTGGCGATGAGGATAAAAATCGGTCACAGTATCATGAAAATGAAAAACCCATACCGAGTACAAACACAACTATGTAGCTGGCGAGCTGACCCAGGCCCATCATGAAGAAGAGCACGGTGAAGACGGGCCAGGACGGAGCGAAGGCCACAGCGCAGCTGAAGATGCTAATCATGGCGATGGCACTGAACAGTACAGGCTTCCTGCCAAACCTGGAGTACAAATACAACGAAGTGGTGTCAGCCATAACAGCAACATACTGTATATAGACCTCTATTCAGATATTCATCTCAAAGAAGAGAGTCACTGAAGTAGTAAGATATAATATAGAACTTTTTCACAGCACATTTTAACATTGTGATGTACTATTGTAGGGGGAACACAGGTGTTTCCAATGATACTACTGTAACACTTCAATTAAAGCAGGATCCCAATTAGAGGCAAGTCCCCTTTACTAGCCTGGTGCGGCTACATGTTTTGACAGATAAGCGCAGGTCTCAATTAGATGCGTGATGTGGATTTTATAGCCTCAATAAACCTCTTAAAACCTGCCCGGGTTGCCTGCTTGAGCCCTGAAGCTTATTCCATCTATGGGGAGCATAAAATGTGAAAGCAGTTCTTCTTAATTCTGTGTGCATAAATGGGATTTACTCCTGTGAATGTGTGCGGTATTCCATATTTCTGAATCTTAAAAGTGATGATTAATAAATGACAAGTTAATAAGAGTGACTTTGTTACATAAAAACAAGACGCTGTTGTTCCCTTCGAGTGCTAAGAGATGTTCCTTCTTGTAGACGATGCAATGATGGGCTTTGGTCAGTGCTTGGTTAGCTGACAGCTAACTACCAGACATACTTTGGCAGAACACTCTACCTCCGCTGACTCCGTAGCAACTGAGAAGAGCGGCTATGGGAAACAGTTTGAACTAAAACTTAAAACTACCTGTCAGAGATCTGTCCAGAGACCAAGCATCCGCACAGTCCTCCCAGAAAGTAGACGAAAGAGGTCAGAGGCTGTTTCCACTGGTCACTGCACACCAGGTTAAACTGGAAGACATGGGACATACATGTATGAGAATTCTGGAGCAGACATAACAATATAAACTGGAATAAAACAGCAGATAGTGGTATAAATTACACATAGGAATGCAATGTGGAATAATACAGTAAATGTTAAACAGGCATTGAAAAATATATAAGCTGGAAAAAGACCCAAAAGAACAGTTCCCCTGGTCACCATCAGTTTGGCCATTCCTTTGACCTGAGCTTCATTTTTCTTTTCATCTACTAGTGACTATTCTGAGTTTATTTGTCCTGAGTCTTTCTTCATCTCAGTCCTCTGTCCAACTTTTTGAAATCCTGTTTCCTGTTTGAGCTAACTAGTTCTTCCTCTGTCCACCAACATCCAGCTCCTCCAAGCCCAGTTCCAGTGTAGCCCTGTCCTTCAGGATCCACCTCCTCTGAGCCCTGTCAAACTCCTTTGACCCTGGTCTTCCAGTGTACAGATTCTGGTCCATATCTGTAGAAATTGTTCTCCAGTGCCCTGCTCTTCCTCCAGTGGTCATCTCTTAATAGCCAGTTCCTCCAGTCCATCTCCTTTTCCTCCCTTTTTTCTAGATATTCCAAGAGCTGTCTAACCACAAACCACAATTTGGATGAAAAACCACCATCAAAAACCTTTGTATTTGCAAGAAAACATAATCTGACTAAAAGTTCCAGCCAGATTAATTTAATATTTTTAAGTGCTTTCATGTATGTGTATGTCAGTACCAGTTATTCAATTACTGAGATGATTATTTGGTCCTTTACTATAATACTTTACTGAGCAATGCAGAACACATACTTTCTCTTCTTAGAACCACAATAGAACTCATCATTCAGTTAAAAACATGTTTAGTCACTGCAGCTGTTGTGCAGCAGTAGTTGTATTGTATTACATCACAGAGATAGCTGACATATGCAGACCAGGAGACCCAAGTCCAGTCATTTCCAGTTCCTCAGGCAGGGGTCACGACCCCTCAATGTTTTACAAAACAGAAGCTGTCCTGACAAGTCTGGATCTTTATTTAACATGCTAGAGTCTAAACAGTAACGTACAGTAGACAAGGGTGGGGGTTACTGATAGAATCATTGACACAATAACAGCAGGAGCTCAGTACCTCACTGACTACAGTAGACTCGTAGTACTCAGTACTGTAGGTCCATCCATCTCTACAGCCCTCCTGCTTCAGACTGGAGAGGAGGGTCTCTGGACTTGATCCCAGTGCAGACAGGTTGAGGACCAGCTCCAGGCTGGGTCTGGTTCCAAGTGCAGACAGGTTCTGAACCAGGGCCAGCTCATACCGGCTACAACTGCTCGTCTCCGGACGCCCGGCCACCTGCTGAGCAGGAAACATTATCATTATCAATCATTATTTCCAACTTGTGCTGCAACAACATTCTGGGGAGGCAGACTGCTCCTAAGCAGACCAGTTCAGACTAGACCAGTTGTGACCTGCACAAGGATCACAGTCTGGATCCAGTCCAAAGCTATACAATAAATTATAAGCTGACTGCATGTCCAAGTATTTGTTTAGCTAGCATACAACACTTCGACTGTATTTTCACTGTAGTCCTATACAGTACATTTACTCATGTACTGTACTGAAGTACAGTTTTTTTAGGTACTACTTTCTTTACTCTTTTCTTGAAGATGAATATTTTTCATCCAAAACACATGATCAATGTATAAAATATGATACATTTTTATAGATTACCCATCAGTATATAAAGTAGTAAATTAGATCAACCGTTACCAACTACATTAAAAGGCTTCTCAGTATTTATACATCAGTACTGATCACAAAATATTTTAACAACCAATATAATAAATATTATATAATATAAAGTAATAATATAAAGTAAATGTTCCTGATAATACAAGAAAAATCTACTTGTAATGGACTATTTTTAATTGACTAAAAGAGCTGAATACCCCTTTTACCACCTATAACTTTAATGTTGACGACAGTTTTCATTGCCACAGCACATGAGTAAACATGTGGATAAGATAAGACTTAATTGATTAATTGATAAATAAACCACATTATGCACTAGAGGAAGTGACCCTTGTCTCAGATTCAGTTTTCAGACTGAGGCTCTGTAACTGAAAATGGAAATCAAAAGTTAAACTGCAGCTGCAAACAGTAAGGGAGTCCTTTATCAAATACAATTTAGCAACAGCATTGTTTGGAGATGCATGCAGGCATTAACTTTCATAGATTATTCAGTCACATTATATTGATACAGGTCTATAAGGAAGTGAGTGACTATTCAAATGATCTCTAAAATAAAAGATTTCCTATCAGCATTGTATTTTGCTATCACAGTTATATTATATAATTCTACCATTTTTTACATGCAATCTTATTCAATTAATTTACCATAGTGAAGGACTGGAATACTGTTTATTGTTTAATTAAAAGATTAAGTTTTGTTAAAACCAAAACAATGAAATGAAATGGTCTGATGAGCTGAGGGCAACTGCAAAGCTGGGTGGAAATTCTCTGTGGGCTCATCATCACTAGGGACCTCTTTCACATACAAGTAGTCATGCCGTAGACAGAAATATCTGATAGAGGCATCGGATCAGAGCACACTTATGTGTCTTGTATTTGATGTATTTTACAGGACATGTTGGTTAATTTTTAAAAGTTACTTCAAAGACTTTTGGTAGAAAAAGATTTTGATCGCAATAAAAGTAATGAATTAATTGTTAAATACAGATGACTTACTTTACAGATGATTTAACTTAATTGATTACTGTGAGCTTGAATACATTCTGGAGGGTTCAGTTCTGACTGGTTCTGACCTGTACTGGGATGCTCGCCTGGATCCAGTCCTGGCTCAGGTTGCTGTGGGCAGGGATGTGGCAGTGGTGGGGGGGGCTAGCCAGCAGGAAGATGACGGACAGGATGTTGTATCCACATGGAACGCTGGTGAGACAGAGCAGGAAGAAGACCCTCCTCTGGAACGGGCCCCAGGTCCCCAGGAATGACACTGACTCCTCGTAGTCCTGCATTTTATTGGACTCCACTTATACTTATTCTATTCGACTCTATTAATTATAACTTTAATTCATTAAGTGCTGTTATAACCACCTGAGCAACTATCTATACTACCTATACTACTACTAAAAATATCACTGCTCTGCCACAATAATATTATTACAATAGATGTAAAAACTACCAATACATAGGAAATGGTAGAACAATACGTACAAATACCTTCTGTTACTACAAGCACAAGAACTACAAATACAATTATCCCACCTATACGAGTACAATAAGTACAAATATGCTGTTTAATAGTAAGTATTAAATAATGTTAATACTCCTGCTGCAGCAGTGACAGCTTCTCTCTGCAGGGTCTCTCTGGGGCTTCACACCTCCTTTATCCCAGGCAAGACAAAAGAACTCCACCTCTCATCCTCCTCCTCTCAAAAGTCTGTGCTCATATTGCAACTACTTCACTTGTTGCAACTCCTCATGCTGTCTACTTCTTATCCGAAATAGACATAGAGAGAGCAGAAAGAGAGGGAAGAACATTGTTTCCCTTTTTAAAAGGTAAATGTGACTATTATTGGGACTCAGCGAAGCAAAATGTCCTGTTGAGGTTAGAGATTAAACCAAAGATCTGAAGACATACAGTTTGATTTGATTATTTTATTTTAAACGCATTTCATGTTTTTTTTTAATATTTGATTGTGAGATGTTTGAACACATGCATCAAATGTGAAGTTCTTCTTCATATGTGATAAATTCATATAATATCAGCATATGTGAGTTTTTATATGTGATCTTTCCCTCTTGGGGGAATTCACACAACCTTACTTAATCACTTAATTTACATACATATCATCATCGGGAGTCCCATCTGTTAAACTGAATTTTGCATATGACACAGTGGTCAGCAGCCTCATCCAGGAAGGTGACGAGTCTGCATACAGATGGGAGGTTGAACCAGGGGCATATATAGGATTTGAGGACATTAGGGCCCCACTTACATTTTAGATTTAAAGTGCACCTATTTTCAACATGTCAATATATACTGTATATAGACATCCATACTATAAGTAATCATCCAATCTATGTATATCCATTCCATATTTAATATTTTGCCCCATTTGTTCTGTTTACAACTTACAGATCACTTGACTTTTTTATCTATGTTGTTGGATCAGATGAAATATGACCCTGTGGTAGAAGAATGTTTGAGATGGTTGGGTCAGGTTGGGTTAGTGACTTTTATGGTAGGAGGAAGAAACTGGAGACATTGCAACATTGTCAGACCAAAGGACATTGGTGCCTATTGGTTCACCAATGAGTTATAGTTATTGTTCTTATGTATACTGGATGGTATATAAGGTAGATCATTCTGAAAGTTTGGAAGAGAGCATCCATGCTGAGGTATTATCCCCATGCTGCATGTACTATCATTTTTAGATTTGGAGAAAGAAACATTGCCTTATATAAGATGCCTTGTCAGCCTTTAACTGGTCTTATCATTCATTGCCACAGAGCAGGAGACCCAGTATAGCATGCAGTAAATGATCAAACCAGTCAAAAGCTTCCAGTTCAGTCCAGCTTTCTCTCTGTCTCTCTGCCTGTTCTATGACCTCAGCGGTACCAGTTTGTTCAGCTTCAACTATGACTAAGGGTTTTTCTTCAGGTGACCTTGAAGCTGTGCACAAAGACTTGGTGGTATGCCAAAATTAAAAACTCACTTCGAGTTTCTCGGAGCTCACAGCTTAAATAAACATTCAGTCTGATGTCTGATATCCAGAAATGACATCAAGACCAAAACCAACAACAACAAAAGACCACACTTGCCAGATATACCAGAAACAGTCTGCAGATTCAGAATAACTAGAAGAAGGAGGAGCATTGAAAGCGCGCAGTTTCCCATCAGGGCTCACTGTGTTATCCTTTCAAGGCCATGTGTGCAACATGTTTTCAACATGTCGCTGTAGTTTAGTCAAGAAGCTACTGTGTTGATCCTGAATATGTCAGGGAGTGAACTCTTTCTTTTGAGGAGGATAAGGTCAGAAATTGTGGTTTCTGTAGCTGGTTGGATGTTTCATTTCAATTTCTGGAGCTCTTCAACCTTCTATACTGTCCACCTGTTTGTAGCTCAAACACCTTAACAGCCTGGACACACCATGTGAGCAGAGGATGTGCACCATACAGCTGCTTGTTTTTTATAGTTAACAGGTTAGAGAAGGAGTTCTCAATCTTTTGTAACTTAAGGCTTCTGGTTCTGGTCAAAGTACCACCTTACCAAATAAATGACAAAAACTACAATTACCACTCTGCAGTTGAATGAAGTTTACTTCCATGTCTGCCCACGCTCATATAATATATGTGGTGAAGAGTTTGAAGAAATCGAAGAAAAGGTATAAGGAGTACTTTTTGGCTAAATGGAAGTTGGCAACAGTGGCAAAACATGCTTGTCTCTACTTTCAAACATAACTGTATAACTGTATTTGGTATTTGATTTATGTAAAGTCTTGATCGCATCTAGAAATAAACATATCTAGCTTTGTAAATAACCAAAAAACTAAACAAGTTTTAATTTTAATCTAACCATTTAGCAGTACCATCGCCTCACTAGATGGCGCTCTGAACCCCAACAGTGGGCCACGTGCCTACAAACATGGGCCTCCATGTTGATGTGGGTTGAGTGCCCTCTTGCGGACATGCGAAGAGAGTTGTTCGTTGTTATAGTAACACAGGAAGCTTTGGAAGTCAAAACTAAGGGACGAGTCTCCGCAACAGTAAATGTCAAGGTATTTAATGTATTCTTGTTTGATCTGATCCTGAAGTATACAAGACAGAGTAAGTCCTGATCAGATCATCAATCAATCAGTAAAAAAGTCCAATCAGCTAATTTATTTATTTATAAAGAATACATGACTGATGTAGGATGTTCAGCAGTTTTTTAATGAAAACAAATAAAACAAAGTTACAGAAATAAAATGATAAGGAGAGAAATGTTACATCATCTCAACCTGACAAGTTCATCATCATCATCATCATCATCATCATCATATAAAACAAGCTCAGAGAATAAATACTGTACATGAAGAAGTGGATGGAGGTTCTCTGAAGCAGTAAGTGTTGCTTGTTAACATGTCTGAAGGAAGATTGAACACTACTGTTCTCAGCTGAAATCGAAAGGAAGTATCTGTGTTTCACCAACATCTAGACAATCCAATTTAAGTAATCCACCTGTCTCCATTCAAGATCATCTGTGAAAGGTCTGAATGATGAAGATTATTAGAGATTATTATTATTATTAGTTGAACTGATTAAATCTCAGCTTCCCTTTTGTGCAGAGTCTCAGGAAGCTGAATCGAATGTGTTTGATTGAGTTTGAAAAAAGTTTGATCAAATTCAAATTTAACAGCACAAATAACTTTCCAACTAAACTAAATTCTGTTTGCTGCAGGTAACTCGAATGTATCAGATGTGTTAAAAACAATGACTTTCTGGTTCAGAGTGGAGCCCTGTGTGCAACAGTTTGGGTCAACTGATTGTTAACACTTTAATTATTCACTGTTTGCTTTCCCTCTGTACGGAGCCCCTAAAGTTCCAAGAGGTGATATTTTATTATTATTTAAATAATTATATTATCATTTTATCTTATGTGCACAAGTTATTATCTTGCAGGCACTAGATAAAAAAATGTAGGGACTCTGTACGTCAGGGTAAATGGAAAATTACCTTTTATTTTGGAAGCAAAATGATAAAATCAGATGGAAGAGGTTAAATCCAAGTGCAGAGAGAGCACACATGTGCGCACACACATACACTCACTCTCACACACTCCCAATCTCAGTTTTCAATGAAAACATTACGAGGGTTTGAACATAAATGACAAGTTTGTATCATGTCAACTAGAAACATCAATTTTAACATCCCTGTTTGTTTCATTCCAGTATTGCAACTCAGCCTCAGTATCAAGACTTAGACTAGAATCAAGACTCTCAGGCCTCAGTATTGCTGATAAGGAAGCGAAGAGAATAGAAAAGCAGCAGCTGATCTGTACATTATTGCATCATGATGACATCATCAGACAGAGGAGGAAGTTCAGTTGAACAGCTTAGAGCTTCGTTTTCAACAAGATGCTGGCAAACAGCCTTAGTGAAGGTTTATCAGCATCATCAACATGGATTTGACACTTCATTTTACAGTTGCATGTTGATGAGAGTTAGAGTTACTGCACCATGAGACCAAATACTGCATAGATAAACACACACACACACACACACACACACACACACACACACACACACACACACACACACACACACACACACACACACACACACATAATGTCCTTAAACCTGTTTGTTCATTATTGGAAGACTGAGATGCTTCAAGTTATTCAGGAGGAGGCAGGAAGACCATTTGAAACCATAGAAAATAACCGCCAGTATAAAAACTCACTTTCACTATTTAACGACGCAGAAATCAGTATTTCTGCTTGTAGTATTAACATTTCAGATTTTACTTATCTAGTCTTTAAAATCTGGTCCACATAGTTTTCCTTAATGTGTTTTAAGGCAAGAGCCTTTCCACGGACATGGCTTTGGTGTGACGTTCTTCAACACTCATTTCTGAAACGGTGAAACTGTAAGTGAAACAGTTTCAATCTCAGAATATTTACATGGAGTCTTTTGCAGTAAGAAATACTAAATATTTTATTGCTGATTATTGCTTGAATATTAATTAACTTAACTTAACTTTTGGGCACCCCATCTGTAAATGTTTTGTACACAGATTGTAAGACAAATCAATTAATGTGAGTTCTAAAAATGTCTTTGTCCTGTATCTTACAAAGGCTTATAAATATGTTTTTGTATTTATAAAAATGCTGTAGAATAGCTTACATTTATTTCTAGATTATTTTAAGTCAACAAAATGAGCCAAAAAAGTACTTTCCCGTTTTCCATTTTTTGCCAATTAATCATTTTAGGAGTTACTGATCACTGTAATTGTTTCTGTAGTCCTTACAGGCTGTAAATTAAATGTGAACCTCTCATTTAAGTCCAACCCAGCCAATAAGACTGAAGACCCATTCAACACTCATTGCTTCATTACCTCATATTGTAAATAATTGATCACAGATTGGAAGAAGGGACGCTAGATAAAGAGACAAAGCTTTAAACAAAAGCTATCAGAATCTGGAGATAAACAGACTGAGTGCAGCCCTGTTACATCACCATGGGGGAGGAGGTTTTTCACCTCGTCTTTAACTTTGAGTGAAGTTTTCTATGGTTTCTCCTGGTTCTGGGAAGCCATTTTCACAACTGTCAAACAACCACCTGATCGTTTTTATTTTTTTTTACGTGGAGGACGTCTGTCAGCTTGTTGAAAACACCAGACCAACCATCGACTGTGCAGCCAGTGCCCCATGGAGGCAGCGGTGTTCATTGCAACCACAATATAAAAGTGATGGACAGACAAAGCAATATACTGAAAATAATTCCAACTCAAAGGTCCACTTATGAGCTCTGTTCAGAGAATTCAACCACTTCTCATACGCTTCTTGAATAAACAATAAAGATAACATCAGCTTTCTGCAAACGCCAAACTAATATCATTGACAGCATTAAGCCTTTAGGCGTTTGGGCGCGTTGCGTACACATGCAGCAGCTCCTCTCTCTCCCGGCAGATCGGTATTTTTAATTTACCTAATATTTATTATTTCCTATTATTTTGTATATTGTCTGTTTGCACCGTGGGTCCGAGAGGACTGAAATTTCATCTGTGCTGTATGTCGTGCATGTATAGCATATTGGACAATAAAGCTGACTTTGACTTTGACTTTGATTAACCGGGAAGAGGTCAAAGGTCATGGTCCCGGAGTCAGTGGATGGCCTGAGAGAGATCATACCCGATGTCAGAGACCATCTTTGAAGAGAGACAGGGCTTACCATATACAGCTCCACACTCCGGTCATGTGATGATGCCTGAGCCATCTCCATTCAGATGTAACTGAAAGCTCAGAATTAAGCCAGTAGGTGGATGGTTGAGTTGAGATTATTCTGCCACATATAATTGTTTTGTCATTCTTAGAGCCTTAGTAGTGGTGGAGTAAGAAATGTTTATCCTGACGGTGGCACTAGAGGAAAGGTAATGGGGTCTTATCTAAAGGGGTCATTCAAATCCGGACAGGAGGACCAATATGTTGGATGGATGGACACATCGTGCGGTTGTTTGAGAGTCATGAAAAAGCTTTGGGTAAATATTTACAACATACAGTGTAAAATAAATTATTATAGCACAGAAAAAGCAACCAGACAAATGTTAATATCTTCTTTTGCTCATGGAAAGTGAATAAGCTTATTTAAGGAAAAGGTTCCTTTGCTGTTGCAGGTTGTGAAAAGTTCCTCTGACTCTCTCCGATAAAAGTTTCAGTGACAATAAAAGTTCTGCTCAGATGCTTTAAAATCCTAAAAGTTCTCATCAAACTCAGTGACAGAAGGATGGTTGACCCAAACAAAACCGACAGACTGAGTTCACGCCAGGCAACAGTCAGGACGAAAGGCCTTTTTCACTGTAAAACCAGGAAATAGCCTGGTCCAGAGTACAGAGTGAGTCTGTAACATGCCGGCAGTGGAGACGACAAAGGGTACAGGCAGGAGTGTGGACATCAGATGTAAGGAGGAGGAGTTCATGTACTCGTACTTCAGTTCAAACTCTGGTTCCGAACATACAGCAGGAGGTCGACAATGAGAAACAAACCGTCCTGAATTGATGTGACTTTCTGTTAAGGCTTACTGGGGTTTTGCTGAGTTTTCCCAAAAGTAGCAGACCTGTTAAAACTGTTAACATTTTCATCTTGCCATAAATCTAAAAGAGAAAATTGAGCTTTTTTAGGTTCCCATTGCTGCGGGACAGTTAAAACTATGTTTCCATTAAAGGATAATTCCACTTTATTCCAACTTGGTAGTTGAATTCCCCATTTTTATTAACCTTGGAATTCTTTTTAACTCTCTCTTTTTAACTTAGAAAACCCTCCAAAATGTTTCCTTGGCAGGTGAAACACTTCAGGGGTGTGTGAGGTTGTGCTGGGACAGTTTAGACCTTGGTATTTCTTTAATCCTGGCCATGACTTCAGTAGGAACCAATGGGTTTGGTGTTGAGACACACAGCTGCTGTATGTTAGGAACGAGTCGAACATGAGCGCAGGGACGTCTGAAAGAGGACACCTGTGGTGCCACAGTCCAGTGCTGACATGAAGACATCTGCAGTCGTATTTGTTCATGATGGAGGATGTCTGCTGAGTTTTCTGACATCAGGTTTGTGCTGGTTAGTTCCTCCAGCAGGAGGAAAAAGAGCTTCTGTGTTCAGGGGAGATTTGTTTAGGCAGGACCAACCCCCTCCAAACTCTGAGGACTCGACCTGAGCGGGGCTCTGAGTCCAGACTTTCTTGTAAACCTTTGTGTCTGTTCTCAACACAAGCTGCATCAAAATGCAGCAGATTTCTGGCACCAGTGTGTCTTCTTAACCAGGAGCAGGTTCGAGTATTATTGAGACCTTTTCAGATTCTGGTTCCTCATGAATCCTGGTTCTGATTATTGTTATTTCAATCAAACAAAAATATATTAAAAACCAAACTCGACATTTATTTTCAGTAGATTCAGGCTGCCACAAAGAATCATTTGTCATAAATGTCAAGGTACTTTAGGGTTCTTTTTGGTAAGAAGATCAAGGAAAGAAACTTATTTTTCCTCAAGTTGAATGTTTTGAATCAGCTGAATCTGGAACATCAAAATGACAAATGGGGACGACAAAAAAGCTGCATACTGGTTTTTTTGGACCTCTTATTGCTTTCTACAAATTGTGGGTCGATTCTGTACATTTCCCAGGATTTTTCCATAACCAGATATCTATGACTGCATTTAAAAAATCCAGGATTTGTGGGAACCTTTCAGTCTCTCTCCTGTTCACCTTCGGGTCTGTGGATTATTTAAAGCAGCGAGTCCATTTCTGGTTCGGATAACATCATCAAAGCTTTCTGTCAGGTCAGCTGTGAATTTTCGGACCCGAGAAGGAGAAGAAATCGTCTGATCCAGACAAAAGGACCAGGAGGTTCTGTCCTCTCATGTCTCCTTTCGAAGCCTCAGTCAGATGAGAAGGTTGCAGGTTTGAATCCCTGCAGCCATGATGGCAGAGCTGCTGTCTCTACTGGACTCTTCTGCCTCTGTGGCCCCAAAAAACTGGAGGTCAGAGGTCAAAGGTCACCAGTTCGACTCCACACAGCCAACACTGCCATCATCAGTAAGGTGTGAAGAGAATCGATCCTTGGCTCGTTCTGATTGGTCCAGGAGCTGGACGCAGGAAGGAGGCTGTGAAGAGGGACGAGGTGGTTGGAGGGCGATGATGGAGAGAGATGGCAGGGGTGAGGGGAGAGGAGGTGGTAGTGAGGAGGGGGGTAGAGGCGAGAGAGGAGGGAGGGAGTGAGATGGTGGAGGTGAGGGAGGAGGGCGGAGGAGCAAACGGAGTGGAGAGGAAGGAGGGAGAGAGGGAGGGCTTCACCAACTCCTTCTGACGGGAAGAGGAGAGGAGAGGAGAGGAGAGGAGAAGAGAAGATGAATAAACACAAAAGTAAATAAATGTATTAATTAATCAATTCAGGAACAAATAATCATTCATTGTGATATGAGTTTTTTAATTTGAGAGAGAGAGGTAGAGAGATACTTACAGCGAGTGAGCTGCGCTGCGGTTTGTTATAAGGGCTGTACTTGGGTTTGCTGGGTTTTCCTGCCACTCTGTCCTTGTGCCTCCTGCTGGAGATGTGCTGCAACAACCCCAACAAACACACAAAACACACTGTCACACTGGTAACAAAACTGAGGAGAGAGAAGCCTGTGAGAGAGAAACAGACTGACGTTGACATAGGAGCAGCAAATATATCTGCCACCGCCTGAGGGGAATATGTGTTTCTCCTGTATTTATTTTTTATTAGATCTTTATTCTTCTATGGTTCTTACCATTATCTTTATTTTACATTTATTATTTACATTTATTACATACATTGTTAAACTGTGTAGGAAACTGTTAACCTATCCACAATATATTGCTCTCAGAAACTGTGTGTCCATAGCACACACCCTACTTTCTGTTAACAATCCCACACTGCATTGCATTTTAAAGATACAAAAATTACAGTTCGACTTTATACCTGTCAGTGACAATGATTCGTAAGTGCCTGAAATTTCAATTTACTTCTAAATTCACTACAGAGTAAACTATTGCGTGTCTGTTATAAAGAGAATATTGAGACTCATATCTCATATACAGACATTTTGACTGGGAAAAAGTGTCCCATTAAGTCATGACAGTGGGGCAGTGAGTCTGATTTAATAAGCAATCAATTTAAATAATGTAAAGAATGAATACAATTAGAGGTCGCTGAGTAGTCAGTCACTGATTAAAAGCAGCATTTGATTTAGGAGATTGTAGATCTGAACAGGAACAGTCAAAGGGGATATATAAAGTAATGTTAAAGTAATGTTTTTACCTGTTTGAGTTGGATCTCAGAGTTGACATGGACATCACAGATCTGGCAGTGGAAGGTTTTATTCTGCAGGCCGGAGCCCTTCACTCCAGAGGTGCTGCCATTCTTCAGCTTGGCTCCGGGTCGAGGGTAGGCCTTGATCGGCCCGGCACCACTCCGAGCCTCCAGCATTGTCTTGTGCTTTGAACCTGCAAACAGAGAGGCACAGAAACTAACTACTATGAAACCAGAGACACGACGATAGATCAGTCTGTCAGTGTTTCATAGTGTTGCAGCTATAAAGCAGATTGATGCTGTTTTCTTTACATTTCATCCCAGACACAAACCTTTATACTTCTTGCTGCTCAATTTTTAAATCATCCATAAGTTAAAAGGCTGATCTCCACTAGTTCAGCTTACTTCTACAAGAATTAACCAACAGACACTTCAAACTTCCTGAAATCCAAACCCTTGTGTGGTAATCATCATGTGGTAACACACATGAAGACAGTGTTAAAATCTGAGATATGCTGTTTGTACCATGTTGTACCTTTTAAATGCAAGAACTGACCAGACTGATATCATCAATCTGATAATGACCGTGTTTGATTATCTTCTAGGTTTGTTTTTGGATGTTAAACCACCAAGGAGCAGTCAAGGTTGCATCACCTCAGGATGATAACAGCAATGAGGTGACCTAACTTTACCTCGATGCAGCTCCTAAAATGTGAATCATATTAGCAGATGAAAACATGCAATAATGTTCAGGTTTTTTTGCCGATTAAAATAAAAGTGTTTCCTCTCAGTATCACCGCTCTACATATGAGATGGTGGTGTCATGACTACTGGTATAAATCAAACATAAGAAAGAAATAATGGTCCAGAAGTCTTTAAATGCATCATCTCCTCACCTGCATTATGAGCCTCCAGCTGGGACAGAGAATTGACGGCGACTTTACACAGAGAGCAGTACAGCAGCTTCTTCGCCTTCTCCTCCTCAGACTCCGCTGAGAGAGGAGCATCCTGGGAGGAGGCCTGGGAAGCAGTAGGAGGAGGAAGAGGAGGAGGAGGAGGAGGAGGAAGAGCAGGGGACAAGGAGGAGGTGACAGGAACTGGAGGAGGGTGAGGTGGAGAAGCTTTGGAAGAAGAGAAAGATGAGGAAGAGGAGAGGCCCAGGGCAGGGAGAGCAGAGGGGGGACTGGAGGGAGGAGGCTCGCTGCCTTCTCTGCTAGATGAGGGGGAGGAGGAGGAGAGAGGTGAGGAGGAGGGGAGGATGAAGGGTTTGAGAGGAGAGGAGGAGTCAATGAGGCTAGATAAGAGTTCTGGAGGGAGGACGAGTAAGAGGAAGAAGAGGAGAAGGAGATAGAGGAAGAAATGAAAAACAACCCATGGTATAACATCCCCTAAAATGAAAACATCATCAGTAAAAGTATTTACTGTTATTGGTAAATAAAATCAACCTGTGTGCTGATTGGTGCTGCTGTTAGCTGAGACAGGAGGGGCGGGGCCAGCTGAACTTGTGCTGCCCCCATTGGTCTCCCCTGTGATTGACAGCTTGGCCTTGGCCTTGTTCTCCTGAGACTTGAGCTTCTTGGCGTGACGACTGCCTCTGTAATGAGCTTCTGCCTGAGACTGAGCAAGAGACAGACACAGTGACAGATTTAGGCTTGTCGTCTGGATATAGAGAAATCAAGTCTTGATGTCACTTCCTGTCTAGCCACTTTCACTGGCTATTGAGACTTAGTGCAATCTCTCATCTTCATTTAGATAGGATACTAACATTAGCTAATTAGCACTTAATGGTCCAGTGTGATTTAGTGATATCTAGTGGTGTAGTTTCTGATAGTTTCACCCTCGCCTCACCCTCCTGTTCCAAGCATTAAAGACAACTACATGAAACTTGCGTAAACCCGAAAGGCTCCATCTAGATTGTGTTTACTTTGTCCGTTCTAGGCTACGAGTAATGTAACGAGTAATGTAACAAATTACTTCTACAGGGAGTAAAAGTAATAAGCAACGTGTAATACATTTCTTGAGAGACGACCCCAACACTGGTGTAATCTGTGTACATTTATACCTCCATTTACATGTGTTTTATTAAGCCTAGATAAGATATCCAGATACCGATGAGGCAAGATAATTCCAGTTGAGATGGAGTCTTAGGTATACTCAGTCATTGGGCCTGACCACCAACCACAGTAATTTGAGAGTCTCTGTGATCATTGGGATCATTGACAATATGGTTAGGATGTACATGGACTTGCAATGTGTAGCCTCTGTTGTGTTGCAGTGTATTAACAGCTCATATAAACAGATTATCTCTACACTGTAAAAAATGTTCATGTTAGGTGTCACCACAGTGTTACAAGCCCAGAGTAACAGTGTGTCAGCACACTGTAACAACCCTCCAGGTTAACAGTGCCCTCATGTGACTGTCTGGAAGCACCATGACTCAAATTTTACTCAGCTAATGTTGCCTTCTCTTACTCCTCTCCTCTCCTCTCCTCTAATCAGCAGTGATTTCTGTTTTCATGTTCACTCATGAATAATTTTACCAGCTCATACATTAGTCATGTTTGAATGGCATGTCACTAACGAGGCTTGTTACCTCTCAGCAGTCAGTATGTGAATGAGTGTCAATTTACACAGCTCCGTGTTAATATAGACGGTAGGGGTTATACCTGATTATAAACTTGTTATCATTATAAACCACCTGAACTAAAAATAAACAAGCCATGTAAAGTATGACAATTTCAGCTGCTGCATTAAGCATGAGACAAAAGTCTCCTTTGTTGTTCTCAGCAACAATTTTAGTCATGTCCTCAGGAAATCTCCCTAAAGGACTAGGAACACCAGCTTCAGTCACTTTAATCTGCGTGCATTTACAGAGAGGTTCAGGGTGTAATTAGCCTAGCTCAGTCAAAACATGAATATTTTGTCATTTTCAGTATGAAAAAGAATTTATAAAAACAAACTTGAGATCCCGGCACAAACACACTTCAATTATCAATAATTAGGACAAGCTAAGCTCATATTAGCTAGCGAGCTGAATGTGTAATTTTAGAGCCCTGCTGTATGCTAAATTATATTCTTACAGTTCATTTGAATTCATTCCACAATCCCACCATCTTGCTAGCTAACAAACATCCTAAGATTAGCATATTTTAAAGGAACACTTCAAGTATTTATGAAATCGTCTTTTTCTCTTCAAATTCAAATTAGAAGGATGGATATTAGTTTCATCTTTGAGCATCCAGTACAGAGATAGGTCCAGGCTGTTTAGCCGAGCTTGGCACAAAGACTTACATTTTGTAGTTTATTGAGCAGGTTCAGAAATAAAAATATTTTGTCAAAATTTTAGCAGCGCTTACCAACATCTGCCTGACACAGTGACTAGTAGGCTACAAGGCAGAATTTCAAAATTACTATCCACAAAGTGGAGTTGCCAGGTTTGAGTAACAACATGTAAATAAGAAAGCTTAGGAGTTGTTGGAAAGAATAAGATTTAGACACATTTCAGCATGGTTTCACGGTTCAGCAGGACCTTACTTTAGATGGATCACAGGACAGGAAGTCGATCATAGAAGCATAATCAAACTGTATGAAGAATCACAAGTTAAAACCACACGCACACAGAAACACAAACACACTCACGTCAGAGTTGAACCTCAGCTGGCAGACGTTGCATGAGATGACCTGTTTCTTCTTGGGTACCAAAGTAACACCAAAGGTGTGGTTGATGACGGCCTTCTGCACCGGGTCCATCTGCAAGAGGCACACAGAGGTCAGAGGTCAACGGCTTGCTCTGGATTGGCTGAACAGTGATGACAGAGTGAGGCTGAAAGATTGACAGTTCCCTTTATCACAGTCGGTCTGTACCGCCGGCAGCTACAGCACCCTGTCACTGTTACTGTCCCTCACACACACACTCATACCGTGTTGAAGTTTGGGAAAAGTCCGACCGGCGATGTCGTCTCGACAGGAAACGACAGGAATGGTTTCATCATCACTGAGGGACCAGTAGCGCCTATGAGCCCCGGCAATGCTCCGCCCACTGCACCACACCCACTTCCTGGAAACAAAGAGGCAGAGACTTTGAATGATTTTGAAGAACTGAGCTGATGACTCTATTGTTAAGTGCTCTTCAGTTCCTAAGGTGGCACTGGACATGATTGGCGGTCAATTTAACGTCAAACAAAGACGGAGATGTCCTTTGAAAATGGCTCAACACATAGACAACACTTGGAAAAGACATGGCAGCTAGTAACTTAACTAACTAACTTTATGGAGTTCATAGAAAACTTTCATTGCTAGCTCCAAGCTCGCTCCAGAAGCTTCTGCTCCTTATCTCATTCCCATTTTTCTCGTCTGTATCTTTCTGAAAGAAAGTGGCTGGAGCCTTCTGTGATCTCACAGATGTGTGCTTTCTAGCCGAAATGATACATTTTTTGCCTAGGGCAAAACCAATGTTATATAACATTTTTACAGACTGCACCACTCCGCTCTCGTCTTCTTCTTTAATGGAACGCACGTTATGTCCGCTCAGTCTGTGGAAGTATCGCATTTAAATAATGGTTTTGTCCAGGGAAAACATTTTATTATTCCAGGCAAACAGGGGACATCTGTGAGATTATGAAAATACCTTTGAAGACACAAACCGCTGCTGGATAACATAAAAAATAACATTTTGATTATTCCTCTACGGTTTGAGAAGGAGTGTATGTGGAAATACAGAGTAACGTACGGAGTGCTGAGGTCACAGATGGGACTATATGCATTGAGGCTTCGGTGTTAGAAAAAAAAAGTGTTATTATTTACTGTTTCCAGATAAACCATTAGACTACTAACAATTTGTGTTAATGTAAGCAGGTCAGTAAATGTATCTTGAGCTGGTCCGTTAGCTTGAACCTCAACAAAGATATAGCCATGTGATACAGACACTCCTTGGCACAGGCTCAGAAGAACAAACGGAGGAAATCCATCTCACACTGATATGTATGTCATTTCAACCTGGAGATCTGTGCGGCAGGTCTGCTTTACAGTAACAACATGAAGAACATATGGAGCTGCAGGTGCTGGAGGCAGAGAGAGGTAATAATACAGAGAGAAAGTGAATGAGAGACTCACATAATGTGTCCATGTGTCCAGTTGCCACAGGGGCAGTAAGAGTTGCTCTGTGCATCTCAACTCTCTGTCATCTCCATTTAAAGAGGCAGAGAGTAGAGACTACACTTACTCGAGCACCTAGGGGGACCCAAGGTGTCCAAATGGGGGGTCGGACACGTCACGCCATACAAGACTATTACAGAACAAAACGGCTCTAAAACTATAAATAAAAAAATGTGTCATTCAAAAGGGAATTATTATAACCTTAACTATCTAAAATGCACATTTTGTGTAAGGAAAAGTAAGTCTGAATCCAAATTTAAACCTGCTTCCAGCAGTGTTAGTTCCCAGTTGCATACGAGGCGTTATATACACATACACAGTAAACACAGAGAGTAGATCTGATGAAGAAGAAGCGTATTTCTTCTGTCCGTTTACGTTTATAGTCACAGCTTGTAGAAGCTCTGCAGTGAAGTCTTTCATAACAGAGTGTGGGTGGTAACACTGAGAACAACTGAATCAGCCCTGACACAGGAGGAGGAGGAGGAGGAGGAGGAGGAGAAGGAGGAGGAGGAGGAGGAGGAGGAGGAGAAGGAGAAGTTTGGTCTTATTGGTTTTGTCCATCTGTCCAACGTAACTTAAGTAAACCCATTCTATCTCATTTGGTACACTATAAACAAGTCTAACTAATTATATGTCCTATAACACATTGTAGCCTATTTTAATTATACTTATCAATTGCAATACATTAAAATATTGTAATTATTCTAACCCACTGCAACCCATTGACATTAACTATAACCATTATAACTTGTTATAAATACCCAATAGCCCATTATAAATATATTATAACTAATTCTAAACCATTGTAAATTCCTTTAAACATATTCAAAATTAACTATAACCCATTTTAACCCATTCTAAATGCATTCAAACTAAATCTAAATGTCTTAAAAGTTGATCTGTATAAACTGGACTGAGAGGTCTGGTTTTGATTTTACATGTACCCAGACCAGGTCAGGCCAGGCCAGCTGTGTGTTTTCAGAATGGCATTAGGCTAGCTGTGGATTAGCTGTGTACCATGCTGCTGCTTTCCAAGTTTATCCTCATATAGCAGAGCTGTGAGTCAGTGTCTGTATTTACCACTACAGCTCATTATTAAATTCTGAACAGCATGACACAACACATTGCTGTAATCAAACACATGTAGCCTGACACACAACAGCTCAGATCAATGTCCGGATCAGCTGTTATTAGCTTGGAGATTATTTATGGTAGTAAACACAGATTAGCATCTATTTTTAAAGATTGTTTAGTGTGTCAGCTTGGCGAACCTGCCAAAATATTAGCTTCGTCTTCAATAATAGGGTCACAGTGAAGATGTAATGCTATTAAACTGAATGTGAACTCCTGCAGAATGTCATTGGTAAAAAACAAAAAACTAATTAAAATGACTTACTGATTGTCAAGAATAAAAGTATTCAATTTACTATGTCACAGTTTGTATTCGCAGTATTTAGTATTTAGTAGCTGCCCAAGACAGTGTACTGAGTTTGATAGACAGTTTTTATCATATTATCTCAGTATAAAACATTAATATAGTGTACACTAACTACCAAGATGAGTCAACAATAGTATATAGTGTGTACTTTATAGGGGTCAGTATACCTAAAATGTGTCTTTGGTGTCCTCACCAGAATGATTAGATGTAAGCGATTTCATCATGTCCCCAATAGCGTAAGTACAGGACATGCATTGCACCGGGGCCAAGCTGATAATAAGGGCCCATGAGGGACAGTGACAACTGCCCAGTGTCCGTGGATGGGCCCTTTCATGCCTTCACATACCGCGTCCAGCAGTGACTAGTGGCACGAGCAGCATGGGACAAGAAAGTGGATTGGTTATACTAGAGAACAGCAGAGCGAAGAATTTGGACTTGAGCAGTGCTGTTAATGACTCTGCTGAGCGAAAGGCCCGTAGGATGAACTTCTGATGGGTGAGTACGGGTGTCTCTTTGCTATGGAGTGGGTTCAGGGATTTAAATTACGTCTCAAGTGTTAGAAAATGCACACTGACTGTAATGTGTGTCTGTGATAACATTTGGCTGATGTGCCTTTGATGATGAATGATGACTAATGAATTGTTTATGCAAGTAATTGCCTGATTAGATGCCGTCATACATTCATTCATACATTGTAGGGCCTTTAATAAGTTGCTGTGCTTTTCTTGATCGCTATTTGTTCTGTGGTTATTGACATACTGTGTAAGCTACTTTGCGTTGATTTGTTGCTGTAGGCTGGCTAAAGCTATTTCAGTTGTTTTTAATAGTCAGAGACAGCAGGTTGTGGTGGTTGGGTGTGGTGGAGTCCAGGGCAGGCTGTTATATTTGCATTCATAGATTTGACCCGTGTGTACACAAGCATGCTTTTTGGGTTGGGGGGCACAAAAAAAATGATTTGCACCGGGATCAATCACAAACATGTTACGCTGCTGCATGTCCCTCAAGCTGCTCTGCTAACTTCTATTAGTGCAATTAGTGGTTTATTGACAAAAATAAAATGGTGAACATGTGCACATTTTGATAATGTTACAACAATTATTACAGTCATATTATAACAGTAGATGCTATACATATTCGGGGTGGGTGATATTGACTTTTTTGGTGATACAGTAAAAACAGAATTTGTTCTGGTCAGCCACTTTTTGCTTTATGCGACAATACAGGAGCACCAACCATACCAGCCGTATTTACTCTCACATTAAGAGCACAAAGTTTAGGAGGGATGCAGAAACAGCCATTTGTCTTGAATGCTTCAGTTCTCTCCTTTTTGAGCTCAGCAGAGACTCCTATTTCTTATGATATCCCCATTTAGGTGATAAGAATTACTGTCTTTAAGGTAGAAGCATTAGTATGCCAAAATCACTATTCATACTCTTTCAGCTGCTTCTTTATGCAAATTAAAGCCAGCAATGCAGTTTAGAGTAATCTTTTCAACATGAACCGTTCACACAGAAACAATGTGTTTCCTGAAATCATTCATAAATCCTGTTGTTTATTAAATGATGTCTTTGTTTCTAGCATCCATTAAAGCAGCACCCTGTCCAGCCTGTCATGCCAATGAGAAAGGGACTAAATATCTTTCTGAAAATGTAGATTTTATAATCACTATGCAATGTAAATATTTAATCTGACTTTGTCCATGACAGGGTGGACATATTCTGTGGTCTGCTCATACGTTTTCTGCTTGCTGTGAATTTATGGAGCTTGACCAACATTTCTAACAGCCTAAGGTCTTCTGAATACATTGAATAAGAAGTTAAATTGAGAATATTCTTTTGTGAAGTCTGAAAGGCACTTTATAGAGATAATGAGCCATAGTATATAGGGTTTTAAAAATGTATAAACCTCTTGGATCTGTGTTTGACAGTTTAAGGAATTTGGGAAAAGTCACTAAACTTATTCAGAAGACATTTGAGCATTTTAGTTTACATACACTACAGTTTGCTCAGTAACTTCATGCAGAGTGGTTTGTAATCAGGTGTGCTGCTTTCCTGCTGAACCAGGAGGTGGAGGTGATCATGAGTGTGACTAAGGACTAACTACAGCACACCTCCACCAGCTTACATTTTGTCACTTTTATTAAGTTGTAGGTTTCTTCTCCCCATTAAGCATTGTGTTGTTGGACAGAGAAACTCCTGAAAGACCACTGAAACTGCCTCAAGGATCATCTGAATTACGGTCCAATTAAGGTCCAGTGTGTAACATTTAGGAGGATCCATTTGCAGAAAAGGAATATAATATTCATAGGTATGTTTTCATTAGTGTATAATCACCTCAATATAAGAATAATTGTGTTTTAATTACTTAGAATGAGCCATTTTTATCTACAAACACCATGGGTCACCTTCAATGTTAACCACCATGTTTCTACAGTAGCCCAGAGCCAGACTAACCGAATACTGACT